TTTCCCAAACCTCTTAAAAAACATTTTTTTACTTTTTTGTCAGCCTTTGATTTACTTAATTTAAAGACAATACTAATCATTTCTACACTTTCTATAATTTTTGAAAAATAGTCTTTTATAGACACAAAATCTTTTTGCTTTACGGTTTCTAATTTAGCAATGTACACACCCTTATTCTCAGAAGGAAACTAAATCAACAGTATTTCTTTCTTCATCTTTTCATAAGAATTTGTAATAAAAACTGCTATTATAGTAATCATCATATATGAGGTTGTATAGTATAAATCTCATTTGTAAATCATCCAGGTTATTGCGCTCTGGAATTTGCTCAAATCTTTTAAGCCACTGTAAATCAAGGTCATCTCATAAACTATAAATCATTTTAGCATTTTCTTTAATTTCTTTATCAAATGTGATGAACCTATCACTCATTATCATTAAATTTCTGCAACCGAATTTGATTTGAAGTGTTGCAAAGGAATGCGACCAATCTTAAAGTAATACTCTAATGAGCTTAAGACTTTATTATTGCCGCTTGTTCCCTGCAGGCTTTTAAAACAACTCACATTTTTATTTAATAATTTATTAGAGTTTTTCTTTGCAAAACTCATGGGTTAATATTAAAAATTATTTTTTTAGTATAACTGTTTAAATAAAATAAAGATGTGGTTGTAATACTACTTTTAGACAACAAATTTCCCATTTCTTATTATAACTCACTTTTGAAATTTTTAAGACCTTTAAATAACTAAAAAAAAGAAAGCACATTTTTGCAGCAAGTGGTTTTAACAGTATAGACAATGCTTTTGAACTGGTTTTTTTATGATTTGACATTAAATACAATACACGATAGTTTTCTGGTTCTCATATTGCAACCTTGCTGTTTTTGGCAGGGTGGGATTGATAGAAAATAAAATGAACTGCGAATTGTGTACCGAGTTTATGTGCCTCATTTCATGTAAACAATCTTAGAAGGCCGTGTATGGTTATATTGTAATAAGCATGGTAAAAAAACGTAATCATCTGTCCGCCCAAAAAGCTTTTTCAATGGTTTAAAAACTTCCAAGAGCAATTTTTCTTGTATTTTTGAAGTGGAAAGGATCTACAGAATTAAAATTTGCGATGAGCTTGGTCTTAATAAGAATACAGTTTCAGATCGGTGCTTTATATTGCGCGAAATATTACGGGCAGTTTTCCTATACCGCAATGCCGAGGTTGGTGGATTAAACGAAGGCGGTTCTTCAAAAGAAGTTGGAATCGATGAGTTTTTATTTTTCAACGCAAATATCATCGAGGCAGTTTTAGACAACAATGTTAGGTTTTCGGAGCTGTGGAGAGAAGAACATTTAATGCACGATTATTTTCGGTACCAGATAGAACAAGATCAACTTTAGAACAAATTATCAGAGAATACATACTTTCTGGTTCATATATTTTCAGCGGCAAGTGATCGGCCTATTCCTTTCTAGAAAACGATTCTGATTATGTTTACTCCTCTGTAAATAATTTGAAAAATTTTGCTGATTCTTTAAATACAATAACCCATACCCAAAGCATTGAGTATTGTTGGATGCATTGTAAAAAAGCTATAAGAGAACAGTTTAGTAGATCTGAGCGTTTAATACATGGTTATGTATACGAGTTTATGTTTAAAAAGGCTTGTGCTGATTAAAGAAAAGTTTTTAATGAACTGTTGATAATCATTATTCGTATCAACAAATTGTATAATATCGCGAACCCGGATCACACCCTAGCCGCAGCCGCACATAGTTCGATTCCCGGCAGAATCTTTTTATATCGAAAATGAGATGTTTTAAACGCTGCAATTTACTGGGCTTACTAAAAGTTAAGTTGTAAAATATGCTAAAAAATACCTTTTATGGGTTTGTGTAGAGATATTACTGTATCTAAAGTTTAAAATATTTGTATTGCGATTTTTTTATCATTAAATTTTGTATTTAGATAACATAAAATTATTTTTTAAAAAACAAAGTAAGGAATTATTTAAATTAAAACATTTTTTAAGTACTAAAATAAACTGCATTTAACCCTTTCCACTTCAACGTCGAGTGTCACCTGACACTGATTTTGTTCCGCCAGCTCCACCGTCGAGTGATACTCAACGTGGTGTAATACCTCTTTTTGCGGGAAATTTCAAAACAGGTGGGATTTTTGTTACTAAAATGCTTGAATCACGAATGAATGAAACATATTCTAGAATTGTAAGATTCTATAATTCAATAAAATTTTATCGATGATACACAATAAATCCAGTTGTTATCGCACCGTTATATGTTCGTGTCGTAAACAATTTATCTCTGTGCATCGTCGTGTTTGTTTTCATGCAAAGACCTGTACTGTCTTATAAGGTGTGAATTTTTCTGGCGGATACGACTGTGGCAGAATTAATTCGCTGTGGGGCACGGACACGGATTGATGGTGCAACAAGTAACGCGTTTTGAAAGTGGTGATCGGTCGATTATAATTGCATATAAGTATAAAACCCTCAATACTGTTATACATAAAAAAATAGAACAAAAGGCGTCTAAAAGGACAATAATCGAAAATATAGATCTAATTGAAAACAAATTTGAGAGTAGTGACGATGAGGACTATATGAGAGAGTTGGACAATGTATTTAAAACTTATCAATGCGAAGACGAGTGTAAAAGCAAAGATAATATCCCTTAAGTTCCTGGACCATCGAGGAGGAGAAAATCTGATCTAAGACTATTGGCTGCCACCGTAACAGACTCGGATTCTTCCGACGATGTTTTTTCGAAGAAGGCCCAGAGTTCGTAGAATTAGTAGTGATGAAAGTGTTTGTGATGTTCCGATTGCGGACCATTCTTCGTGGGTGGATGTTTTAAAACAAGGTAATTATTGTCCAATTATTGATTTTACAACAGGCAGTAAAGTTACTGGCCCACAAATTCCAGTATTTTGTAGTACGCCTCTTCAATTTTTTCAATTATTTTTTACCGAAAAACCAATAAGGAAAATTGTATCGGAAACAAATAAATATGCTGCTAATATTTTAGCTATAAAAAACATATCTAAATATTCTATCTGGAAAACGTGGACAGATGTTAATGAAACAAAATGAAAGCATTTTTGGGTGTTGTAATCAACATGGGTCTCATCGAAGTTCCAGAATTGCAAAATTATTGGAGTCAAGCTTTTCATTTCAGTCTTCCATTTTTTGGCAGGATTTTTTCGCGAAGAAAATTTGTGCAAATATTTTAGACATTGAATCTGGAAACAATACTAACAAAGAATCGGGAGCCCATTACTAGAGCACAAAAGGTGAACAATTTCCTTGTGTATATCGAATCCAAATGTTGACAACATTTGTACCCGACAAATATTTATCAATAGATGAATCGACTGTGTATTTCAAGAGTAGAATTTCATTCTTGGCATATAATCCAAAAAAGCCTACCAAATGGGGACTACACGTTTATGTGCTAGCTGATTTCCAGACAAGCTACATCTATTCTTTTGTTCCACATTATGGAAAAACATCAACCGATGGACTAATAAAGCTAGAATTGTCATTTATCAGTTGAATTGTATTACATCTATACAATAATCTACTCATGTCTATACCCGAAGCTGCAGGATACCACATATTTACAGATTGATTTTATACTAACTTAATTTTGGCTAAGGAACTATTTGAAAATAAATGCTTTTTGACCCGCACAATTATGCCTAACCGAAAAGGACTACCACAAAAAATAAAAAAACCCAAGTTGCCGAGAAGAAAAACAATTGGTTTTTGCAAAGGCAATACCCCCACACTAGCTTGGTGTGATACCAGAGTAGTAACACTGCTAAGCACTTTTTATACATCAGATTCACAAACTATCCAAAGAAGACTTGCAAAAGCAAAAAGAGGAAACATAGGAAGTCGTACGCCAAATAAAACAATACGAGCGAAAGTAAAAAAACCTATCGTTATAGTTAATTATAATGAATACATGGGCAGTGTTGATGTGGCCGACCAATATACTTCTTCGTATGCTTTTTAAAAAAACACTCAAGTGGTAGAGAAAACTATTTTTCTTGGGGCCAGAGGTCTCTATTATAAATTCATATGTGTTGTATAAAGACTGGAGCGTAAGAAATGAAAAGGTAGCAATGAGTCATAAGAAATACAGACAAACGTTTCTCATGTCACTCATTGGAGACTTTGGGACACCCGAAACAAGTCGCAGAACAGAGGTTGCGGCAGATACAGAACAACGTCTCGATACACCCTTCACTTTATTTATTTACAACCTGGGGGGAAGTACAAGGGTTATGCTGTGTGTTCCAACCGAAAAAATAAAAGGGGGAGAAAAGAAACATACTATTTTTGCAAAACATGTGAGACAAAACCTTCGCTTCATTCTGGGATTTGTTTCGAAAAAATAACCCACCAAAAGGGATTATGAAGATTAAAATTTGGAATTTTAATATAGTATCATGTAATTACTCATAAAATAAAGTATATTAAATAAAAAAACCGTTTTTTTTTTACAAAAAACAGTAAAAGTAAAAAAGCGTAATTTTGGCGTGGAGCTGGTTGGATAAAAACAAAAACAGCCTTGGGGTAGATGGGGTTAATTGTTCTTTTTATTACGTTGGCTATAGATGCTATCTCAGTTCTATCTCCATGATCAATTAGTAGTCGATTCTCAGAGAATTTTTTATTATAGCTGCAGGATGAAAAAATGGGTCAAATTTTAAGCGTTTGTTTGTTTGTTTGGTTGGTTGGCATCAAAGTCTTTTTTTAGAAAAACATATTCGCTTACATTAAAGTTATACACAGAATTATAAATTGCCTTTTATCAATTCTTGCAAGATACTTAGCACATATAACTACTTCAACTTCACTTACAACTTCTTTATTATTTTTTTTTCTTTGCATGAATCTGTTTCTAAATCAGAAAATATAACACCATCATTTTCAGTACTAAGGACTGTATTAAGCCCTTTGCGCCCATAAAAAAGTTCAAGTGGCAATTTACAAGTGGCAGAATGGACAGCAATGTTGTAGTTGTATACAACAAGATCAATATACTTTGTCCAACATGCTTCCTTTACGTTTTCATCTTTGGCATCCATTTGTTTAGCTATGGCTCTCGTTGATGTTTGCTTAAAACATTCAATTTGATTTTGTAATTGCGGGTGTCTAACTCTGCCACGAATCAATTTTACGTTAAACCAAGTACAAAGATCGTTAATCACAGAATTAGAAAATTCCTTTCCATTGTCGCATTGTAAGATGGTTGGTAAACCAAAAGTCAGAAAAAGTGATTCTAATGCATTGCTAACTTCCAAAGTTACTTTAGATTTGTGTGGATAAGCCTTTGCAAATTTTGAATTAACATCAACCACATCAAGAATCCAACAAAAACCTACGTTTTTTTATAACTCTTAAGGCCGATTAAGTCCATCATAATGTGCTCAAAGCGGTAGGTGGCCGTAACATGCTTAAATGGCTTTTTCTGCTTTAAAGGCTGTGATGTTTTACAAGCATTACAGATTGCAATAATATCTCTCACAATAGTTCTGGGTGTGGTAAAGAAATAGTCCTTAAATAATTCATACATCCTATTATGGCCGTAATGATTGGTATCATGAAGTCATTTAATCTCTAATGCCATAATATCGACCTGGGTCTTGTAGAACACTTTTTTGTGCAGTCCTTCTCTAACATTTAAGTAGAGCGTGTCATTTAGTACAGGAAAGTGTTCCGATTTCTTACAAAGCTTAATTCTTGGTATCTACTCAAATCAGTTCCAAACGGCAGCTTTAAAAGGATGGCCATTATTGCATTATATTCCTCCTTATAATTTATAACTGATACCATTAAGGGCTAAAATAAAGAATTTTAAAAAGATTCAATTTTTTTGTTCTTAAATATATTGCAGAATTTAAAATATTTTGCAGCCTACCTTTATTCAACAAATCCCCACTTGTAAAATTTTTTTTTTAAATTTTAATAAAATGTACGTGGCAAGTGTTGCAGTTGGATTTATCTTGGTATATGTAAAAGCATCTGCAGGTTCGATTCCTGTATAAGAATATTTAAGTTTAAGTATAGGTTTTGGAATAAGGACTCCATCTATAATGTAAAGAATATCGACGTTCAAAATTTGTAAACAAAAAATGCGATATGCGGCTGTAGCTCTGGTGCGAGCTGGGCTTGCGAGATTTATTTTTAAAAACTTGTTGTTTATTTTCGACTTAAATGTTATAAAACTTCCGGTACTTTATAGTAAGTATAAGAATCTGACATATTTGTAGAATGTCTAACCCCCTTGTTTGAAATTTTTAAAAATTTTATAATAGTTGCTGGAAGCGTGTCCACTAACTGGCCGCTTAGTCTTATTAAGAGAACGGGTAGTCTTTTTAGACGACTTCCTCTGTATTTTAAACTTGCTACTATATTTTTCTAAGAAACAAATGTTTCGGATTTGAAACGAAAACACCCGATCTCAGAATTCCATTCGTTCATTCGGATTATTGGAAACCAGACGCCTAACATCCAAGAAAAATATCAATTTTTGCACTATAAAATGTTGCGTAGATTTTTAAAACTAATATTGTATGAAGTTTTATTTTGTTTATTCGTTACGCTGTTAGAGATAAAAAATAACATTTACTTTTTTTAAAATATAAAAAAATGAATTTTGCATTTTGGATAAATATTAAAACGCAGAATTTTATATTTTCAATTTTCGAATCTTTTCTATGTATGAATTGCAAAGATCGACACTCGAGTTAAGTTTTTGCGGCTTTTTACTACTAAAATATAATTTATGCTTATATGCATTATAAATATTTTTAGATATGAAAAATATTTTTTTATTGTTAATTTTACTAAAAAACAAATAAATTATAAAAAAGAATAGATGCAATGAGCAACTGTGTTATAATATAGTACAAACAACCTTTGAAAAATTTTAATGTTGATCATTTTTTTTCAAATATTTCTCTTAATTTTGATAGTCTACTGTAAAATGAATTAAATCTTTTTTTAACAGAAAATATAAATCTGTTAACTTCATTAAAATCAGAACTAGAAATACAACAAAAACCGCCATCATAAACACTGTGCAAATTTTTACAAATATATTTAAAAATTAAAAGTTTTTGAGACAGCAAGGCATACTTGCTAAATTGATTATATGCTAAATTTAATGAATTTAAAAATTCTTTCTTATTTTTCTTTTTCCTCGTATTAATTCTAGTTGCACTTATCGTATCTAAAAAACTTGAAAGATTTCTTAGAGCAAAAATTGAATTTTGTTTAAGGTCATCAGAAAGATTAGATATTTCAAGTTTCTTAATAAATTGCGGTATTTGATTTTTAATTTTAAGTTTAAAAAATCTTCTAAATTCACCTTCAGATTCCTTGTATTTTTCAAAAAGTTCGCGCTCGCTAGCTGTAAATTGACTTTTTAGAGTTTCTTTGCTGGTGTTTTTTTTTCTTTTAGATTTCAAAGTTATTTTATTACCATTTGTTTGTATATTAAATATTTTGTTAGTTTTCGGTCTTTTCTCTTTATCTTTTACGTTAATACCATTTCTGTAAGCATTATTAAAAGAAGAACTGCTTCCGGGGTTATTAATCGTAGATAAAATATCAACATTAAATAAAGCATCTGTTTGAAAATCATTTGGTTCATTTACACTATTATTCCCGACATTGTAAGTTTGTTGACTTGATGAAATCAAAACATTATTATTTTTTTCTGAAAAAGTGTTACTTTCCGAGTTAGCATATTGATCTTGCATTAAATCATTTTGATTTTTATGTAATAATAAATTAGTATCATCATTCAAAGATGTATTAACGTAAGAGTGTTCCGCTGTATCATTTTCATTACTGTTTAAATTTTTAAAGCGTGTCGTGTCATCTATCGATTGTTCTAATGTACAACATTGGTTTTTACATACATTAGTAATAAGTGTACTTCTTGTGCAACTGGGTGGCATCAAATTGTTCTCTGCATTGATTGATGACAAAAAATCACATAAATCATAATCAACATCTTCATACCTGCCATTTAAACTTTCTTCTATAAAATCTGCCAAATCATTTAGCAAATTAGAATCAACTGGATTTTCATCTAAATATTTATCTACTGTCTTAGTCGCTTCTTGAAACTTTCGTTGTATACCTACATTTTCACATAATCCTTTATTTTCAAATGCTTTTAAGTAGTTTGATGAATTCTCTAGATCTACTAAAAAATTAAAATCTAATATTGGAGTTGAACAAAAAACTACCTGTAACCAAAATAACATTTAAACGTTAAAATAATTTTAAAATTTATCAGAATTTACATCTACAATATCAATCAGCATTAAACTACTTATATGATACATTAGATTTAAAATGTCGCTCCTAAATATGATCAAAAAAATATATTATCACAAAAATATTAATTAAATTTTTTAGAAATTTATAATGATAAAGAAAAAGTTCTGAGTCAAGTATTCTACAATAAAAAAGATAATGACAGAAATGTGAAATGAATAATAAATTACTAACAATAAAAATCAATAATATGAAAATTGGGTCGCAACGATGTTTATTTTGAACATAACTTTGTAATGACTGAGCTTTTAAAGAAAAATGCTTTGTAATAAAAATTATATTTTAATAAATATGTTTTTATAAGTACTTTTTCATTTTTATTAAATTTAATTAGATTAAAAATAATGATTTTAAGACCGATTATAGTGTAACATAAATAAGGGTAAAGGGTTTTAAATTTATTTGCTTTTCTTGGTTTCGCTGTAAAGGATACTATACAATGCAGAAAGTAAAAAAAAATTAAAATAGTTTTCTGCAATTTACAAACTTAGACTTACGCTACAATTTGTTAAAATGTACGTTTTTTACTCAAGAAAAATATAAATGATTTATTTGCAATCGAAATTATTATATAGTTATTTTTCAATAATTGTCAGAATGCTTTAACTAAAAGCCACTAGAATTAATTTTTAAACATCTTTGTTGTTTAAAAAACATAATTATAGGCATGAAAGCATTTTATGTAAATATTATGTTTAAGAAATAAAAAATATAGTATTATCACAAAGTTAAACATAATTTTATATTAAAATGCTACTATATCACCTACAAATATAAACATTCAATTAAATATATATTTAATATCAGTGTTTGTAAAAAAAAAACAAAAATCTTATGTTTTTTAATTTGTAATTTTAGCAAATTTATACACTTTTTACTCTAAATTAAATAGCTAACGTACAACAAGCGTTACTATAATATTTTAACCGGGTAAGATAAAAAAACATGTAAAAATATTTGTTTTATCATAAAAATTTGAAACGGATTGTAATTATTTCATTAATAAGTAAATACATTTTATATTTTACAATTTTTTTAAATGCAAACATTTTTTAAAAGACGTATAAAATTTATAAGAAGTTTATTAAAGTTAAAAAACATTTTTAATTACTTATGGTTGCAATGGATTATCAATAATGCTTTTCTCTTATTATTTTACCCAGTAAATGGGAAATAAATTGTATGTGAGGAAAAATTATAAAAATATTAATACTAGGTATTAAAAAAAAAAACTTAAAAGAATGCATAGTTCTTTTTTTACTTTCAGGTTTATGCAAAATAATAAAAAAATTTGAAGAATGCTTTATTGCAGACGAGTAATTAATAAAACTTTAGTAAATTGAAGGGCTGCGGCTTGAATGAAAATAGGACCTATAACGCTTTTAACGTCGCCAACTTTCTCCTTTATCTCACTTCTATTGTTAAAAATAATTCTTTTATTAAACAAATTATTGTTGTACATTTTGGTGCCTTTTTATGATAATATTTTCTGTTTAAGCCTCTTTAGTTGTCATATATCTTGTAAAGATGAACTAATTAATATTTTAGAATTTCAGAATAAACAAAAAGTTTATTAAAATATGAAAAAAATTCGTTGTACATCGTTAAAGCTTCAATTTAAATATTAAATCATCTTTAAGGGAGTTTTATATTACTAAATTACAATCAAAATTTAAAAATAAACTTAAGCACAAAATTTTTATTTTTTTTTGTTGAAAGGTTGTATTTGAAATTTTTTAAAATATTTTTGTCGAATTAATCTTTTTTATAAAAAATAAACGCAGATTAAAATAATCTGATTTGTGGTAACTAAATCATTTTTGAAATAATCAAATCTTTAAAAATTTAGTCAAAATTGGACGTTAATTAATGCACAGAAAATGGCGTCATTATATATTTTCTAAAATAGAATCAAAAATATGAGTTTTTTTTGCTATTATCTAACAGGATAGTTCTAGTCTAGTGTCCAAATGTCATTTATTAAAAAAAAATTATTTCTGTTAATTTTTATCTGGGACGTCAGGAAAAGAAAATTTTATCGAATATAAAAACTATTTGTAGTTTAAAAATTTTTTTATAATAGAGAAGCTACTGATGGCGTTTATTACTAATTTGTTCAATGAAAAGTTGTAATGTTGCGTGTAGAACAAAATTTGCGCATCTTTTAGCATTCAATGGTACACATAGCCATTCTCGTCGTTTGAAAATTATAAACAAAATAAAATTCAAATCATTGCTATGGATTTTACTATTGTGCAAAAATTTGCTTTCTTTGTTGGGATATATAACAAAACAGAAATTTTAATGCATTATAGATATCAAAATACTGCAATTTTTGTAAATTAGTTTCCATCTTTTGGTTCCCAAGATCTTTGGTAAAAAAATAAAATAAACTTTTTTCTACCAACACTTGGGTTTTTGCATTAAATTTAAATATAATTTTTTTAGAAACGGAATAATAAAAAATGTCTCTTATATAACGGTTTTGAAAGATTAGAAATTGATATGTGTCGCATTTACAAAGATAATAGGTTAATGGGGATATGGATGATTGATTTATAAGTTATTTTCTTAACAATTCTATTAAAAATATATTTACTTTCAGATTTTGCTAAAACAGATTTATTAGATGTTTTATTACTTTCGAGAACTCTAAACAAAAAAATGTGCTAAACACTATTTAATAGATTTATTAAGATTGGATTTTTTTGCTTTTTGGTGCTTAAATTGATATTATTAAAAATTATTTTTCTTAACCCCAAAATGCTTAAGCTTAAGGAAGACAAAGACCTTTAAGAAATTGAAAATTTTGTTAAAATCCTATATGAAAACAAACTTGTTATTAATGTGGCTACGAAACAAAGAAAATGAAACGTATAAACTTTATTGTTTGTAAGTTCTTTTTTGTAGAACTAGATTCTTCAATTTATAAAGAAACCATTTTGAAGAAACTAACCTTTCGATCATTAAAAATATTAAAATTTTGGACATGTGCTTAGAAGGATCTATATTTGATCTAATTGTTACAAAATCTAATGTTCATTGGGCTACTATTTTCGATTTATGCTCTAAATTGAGAGAATTAAAAGATTTGATCTATTTTAAAAAAAATTAATAAAATTGGCGGGGAAGATAGTATTGTTAAGATCGACAAAAGTAAATTCGAGAAAAGAAAACTGTGGTTATATTTTTTAGATTAATTATTTTATTCTCATCTTAAAAAATTTTTGTATAAAATTTATTTCTTTATCTAACCCCAATTAATTTTACAACTAACAATGAGGAACACAGCCGCAGGAATTTCCACAAGAGACACATTGTAGACCCACAGGGGCAATTTAATAAACATAATCCAGATAAAAGCTTTACCACAAGCAGATTAATTTTAATTGTTATAAAAGTTTTTGAAGAATTTTTAAAAGAGAAAGTATAATCGAGACAAAGTCTTAATTATGCTTTCTCTCTTAAAAATCAAATTTTAGAAGTTAAAAAAAAAATTTAAATAACATCGGTTTTGAGCACCAAAAAGCAAATATAACCTTTATTTATATTATAAATAAATTTTTTTAATACTATTGAAAGTTCTTACATGGAGCAATTTAAAATATGAGGCGATAGAGGAGACTGCAGTCAGGAGGTCGGAATATTATTGAATGAGTTGGATATTATTGCTATGCATTTATATTTTAAATCCTTGAGAAATCACTATGGAAGAAGATGGTTTTTAAAAGAGGATAAAAAGGACCAAAACTTTTTAATAAGCGTTAGGTCAACCATTTTTCCACACCTTCTTCAAAAATTATGTTCATTCGGAGTCAAATCTTACGTATTTATTTAAAGAGAAGATGAAAAATGGAAAAAAGATAAAAAAGAAATATTTTTGGACCATGTAATGGAACAACCAAAGGCTAAATTTGAAATTTTATGACGCTATATGACTAGAAAATTTTTAGACTATAGAATTTTTTTTAGAACACAATTGAATGTAAAAATATAATAAGTTGTGTGAAATGTGATGGTATATGTAAATTATAGTGTCTGATACTTATATAGACGAACATGCATACTGATACTCTTTTAAGGCACACGGATCGATATGCAATGCTAATAAAGAAGTTTAAAATCGCCATTCTTGCTAATGAAAATGAAAAAATTTTAAGGGGATGTATTGCTGAGTATTTGATTTACTCTAGTTTAGCCCATTGATTTCTGTGATTGTTCGGAAAATAGCAAAATAAAGACTTGGTTTTGTATGTAATATCTGAACAAGAACAAAAAACAATCAAAATAGTTGGAGAAAGGATTAGAATACAATTTAACGAATCTATAACTGCAATAAAGAGTTGTACATAACCTAAATAATACTTTAGACAACAAACTAATATAGTATGGTTAGTAATAAGTATAGAAGAAGGAAATTTTAGAATTTTGTTTTAAAACTTATTTTAAACAGAAAAGTACCCACTATATTTAACATATTTGAAGAAAATATTGTACTTGGATCTATCATTATTACTGATGGTTATCCTTCCTACCCCAGTACTGTAGCTATATTTAAATCTTGCCATAAAGTGGTAAACCATTCGGTTGAGTTTATAAATACTCTCAGAGTATATACAAACCAAATCGAAAACATGTGGTCTGATTTTAAGTATGCTTTTCAAAAACACAGTGACATAAATAAAGGAATAATTAATTTGTTTCTTAATACTTGGCATTGAATTAGAAGAAACATTTTAATAGCGATAACAGGACGATAAGGATGGTTTTTATAATATATTAAAAATGTTTAGAAATATAACATTTTCTCTAAAACTAATTTAAAAATATTTTTAAAATTATTTTATCTATTTTATTCTCCAGTTTTTTGGATAAATCATAAACTTTCTTTGCAACTTTTTGGCTCAGCGATGTGGTTATTTTACATATAAAACCGGAGATTTCTAATATCTGCAATTTTATAATACTTTTTGTCCAATTATAATCTCTAAGCTGACAATTTAACACAAGAAGTAAAATTTCACCCACTACTTTTCTCACTGTGTAAAATTTATACAATTATCTTTCAGCGTTCTACACAAAGTAATAAATGATTTACTTGGTTGCAACAGAAATTTTTTTGACTTAAAAAGCAAGATATTTTGTGTTTCCATATTTACAATTTACAAATCATGAATAAATTAAGCCATACACTAAAAAGATTAAATTTTTTAATCAACTAAAACTTTTAAAATTTAAAGTTAATACATAAATAGAGATCTCTTAAAAAAGTTCTTTATTTTTTAAACAATTTTAATGCTACGCTGGTCTTTAAATTATATATTTTCATTATATAAATTTGATATTTTTAAAGTATTTTTTATAAAACTTTTTAAAAATTAAAAATATGTTAGCAAAAAACACTAATTTAGTTTTATAAGCAACTTTTTCAAAAAAAGATTTTTAGAAATAAGATCTACAATCAACTTTTTTAAAATATTTTTATTTATTTAATAAAACAAATAGTGTGAATAATATAAACGAACATGACTATTTACAACTTTAATATTTAAAATATTTTTATTTATTTGTAATTATTTTAAGAAAAAATTCTTTTATTTTTATTCTTATCTTAAAATATTGATACGCGTATTTTTTATTTTTACTTTTATTTTCTTTTGTTTTTTACTTTAAATTTATTTATTTAAAGTATATAAATAATTTTTTAAAAGACCCTAAATATGAAAAGCTGTCTATCAAACATACTTGAGAATAGAGGTGCTTTTATTTTGTTTTTTATTGGATACTGTTTTACAATTTTTGTTAAATATTTTGTGCTCTTAGTGCCTTACTACTACAGTGATTTTATTTTAACAGCAAATGCATCAACATCAGAAACTTCTTCTTCAATTAAAAAGGTTACGTTTAGTCGTTATTGTAGAAATGAAAATTTAAACCAGGCCGGATTAGAGGAAGGAACTGCAGAGCAACCAGCCATACGAAATTCACGGAAGAAATATAGTACATGTTGTATAGTCATATTATGTATTGTATTAGTGGTTATTATAGGTCTAGTATCATTCTTTTTAATTTTCAAAATGCAAAATAACTCAAGAACAGATATATTATTAAACGAAAATATGACAACCGTATCGCTCAATCAAACAATGTATATACAAGACCAATCATCGACATCAATGGAAATTCAAAGTTCAACATCAATGGAAATTCAACAATCAACATCAACAGAAAGCCAATCATTTTAATGCTTTCAGGGATAAGTTCCCTTTTTAAAATTTTATTCTAAAATACTTTTTATTATTTTTCTTTTAATTATGAATTTTTAATAAAATTCTTTTAAAAATAGTAAATTTTCTAAAATGCTAAAATAAATCAAATAAATAAAAAATAGTCATTCTACCACGCTGTTATAACAAATACGCGGTATAATAGCCAGAAAAATTTTTTTTCTGAAATTCCGATTAGGAAAATAAAAACAGATTAAAATATTTGGCATATAATAAATAATACTACAAATTAAACAACTTTTACGACACAACAATAGCGAATATAAAAACTGATTAAAGAATGTAAGCAAACATCAAACAAATACAACAAAGTTTTGATACATAGGTTTTTTGGTGGCGTTTTGATAAAACAAAAAATTTAACCAGCTTACAAGAGTTTATTTTATATGTTAATATAAATAATACAATTTTACTATCAGAAGTATTTGAAAATTAACTACAGTTCAAAAAAAACTTCAACTTTAGGTACAAAACCTGTATTTAATTAATAAAAGAATTGTACTATAATTTCATAGATCTTTTGTTTTCAAATCAAGACAAATATCTTATGTTTTTTTTATTAATTTTTTAATTACAAAAAAAAGAAATAAACAAAAAATGATAAATCATAATGCTACAAAAATATTTTAAAGTATAACTGCTTTGCAAGATAGAATCTATTTATAGATAATCTAATTGATGTTTATGTGAACAATGTTGTTGTGTCAAAATATAATAGAATCTTTCAAATTAATACGCCACTACAAATAATAAAAAGATTAAAATTCACTCATATCATGTATTTATAGCCAGTGAAAAGGCAGAAATGAGAATAGCACTTTAGAATCCAAAATGAAATATAAAAATCCAGATATATTTTTATTGAACAAGATTAATAAATTAATTCTAATAAAGAAATGGTAATAGTATTATTTGACAAACTTGAAACAGTAGAAGTAAAAAAACGCACAATTTGAACTACTTTCATTCATACGTCTTCTTTAACAAAATATAAAATCAAAGTTATTCCGTGAGTAATGGCGTTGAACGATGTATTAACATAAATTTTATAAGCAATATACAGCTTATATCGGGACTAACAACTAAATACAAGGATATATAAATTAAAAGTACTTAAGATGACTATGAAAGTTCAACTATGAAAAGACACAGAAGAAGTCTAAATCCGAAGATGGCGCCGATATGCAGAAGAGTGTACAACACAAAGAGGTTGTTATTGATAAGCAAAAGTTAAATTTGGACTTGGGGAAAATGTACAAGTAAACCAAAGCTATATCCAAAAAAAATAAATTATTTAATCCTATAAACATTCTAACCACTAATACACTGTAAATAGCTTAAATGTTTTATTTTCTTCCTCTGTAATTTATTCTTATGCACCTTTGAATCATTGTGATTTAAACACGTTTAAGTTAATAGGGTGATATTATTTTTTAAATTATAGAAAACGTACTGTTTTTTCAATTTTTTTCTTTTTTTAAATTATGAGTTGGTTATTAAAAACAATATATAGTCATGATTTATTGTAAATAGTTTTATTAATTTTTAAATTTGGTTAATTAAAAAAATAGTTAATTATAAAATTAAATCTTACAAAATCTTAACTAATCATATATAATACTGAGCGGGTTTGATTATACTTATTATAAGTTTGTGTACTCTTTACAAAAACCTACTCCCAGTAAATACATATAATTTAAGAAGTCGGTTTTGTTTTGGGTGTAGCTTTACGGGAAACATCCTAGACATATAAAAGTATAAAGAATTTTGTTGGTTTAAAAGATCAAATAATTTAAAAAATTTATTTCGTAAAGCTTTTTTTTATTTTGTGATATTAAACCCATTTCCTTTTACTTGATTTGCATCAATTTTGCATCGCATATAATCTAAATTGAATTATTTCCAGCTTCTAAATCAGAAAAATTAAGGCTTATGATGTTTTTAAAAAGAACTTAAGTAATGAATTGTTTAAACTTTTTGAACGTTTCATCAATTTTAGTCTTAATTAATGTTAAATATTTAATTACAACACCGACTGTAATGTTTAAGACGAAATAGCTTCAAAGGTTAACGATAAACTTTCCAATTTTGCTCAGATATTAGAGATAGCTAAAAATTAGATTTTTTGCATTATCTGATAAAATATGAGTTTTAAAATTGTCATTTGTAATAATCTTAATAACTGCATTTAAAATATTCTAAACCAATTAAATGATTTCATATTTTTTTTTGAATATTACAAAATCCAAGATCTTTTAAGGTCATGGTGTGTAAGACATACATATTTTTGTTGTATTATATTTGAATAAAACTCATCTGTAATTACTTGTGATTTTTTTTATTATAATTAGAATATTTAAATCATAACATGTAAACTCTTAAATGAAATGCATTGAATAGTTTTATAATCTAAAAATCTGCATTTTGTCTTTTTTGTTGTTTTAATATTCTTTTAAATTAATATTTTTATATAAATTGTCTTCTTCATTGTCATTTAAATTACTATTTTTTGCTAGTTATTTCATTGTTAAAAGTCAGAATGTTCATCAGTATCATGATGAATAAAACAAAAATCGACAGAATTATCAGTTTTCCGTTACAATTAAGATTAAAATTAAAACCATTCTGTTGCCAAGAAGCTTGTTTATCAGCATATTCACTAAGTTCAAATAAGTACAACTACCAATCTTTTTATACAATTCATTTTCAAAAACTGTTTCGAAACTATTTTGACTATTAAATTCTGTGTAGTTTATCAACACAACAGCCATTAATTATTTTGTAAAAAAATTCATTATCTTTCCTAGCTGTTATACTTTTTACCTGATAAGTAAACTTGAATTATAATACATGCGTATTCTTGGGCAGATGAACTACTTTTAATTACCATAAACAGATTTTTATTAATAATAATCGCCTGAGAAAGATCCATAAACCTCAAAACATCATTACAATTACTGTAAATTATTGGTTGAAGAATTTTAAATATTGTATTCGCATTACTGTCAAAAAAAATCCTGATTTTGAAAACTTTCGGCTTTTTGTGTTTTTAGATCGTTCTTTATCATCTCTACTTGGTGTTAAAAATAATTTATCTTTTTAATAAATACGTTAATCATTTTATGAATAGCGACTATCGAACCAGAAATTATCATTTATTTAAATAATTCTTCGTATAATATTTATTTGTATTTTATCATTACACAATATGTTATAAAGTAGTGTATTTTGTTGTGTATTATCTACCGTACTAATAACGTTGTATGAATTACTGTAAAATTAGTCATTTAAATAATTTATATTAGAACCAAAAACGCTCGTTGCAGAAATTAATAAGACACAAAAAAATATTTTTATGGCTCAAAGTTTTTTTTACAAATATTTTTAAAATTATATTAAATAAACATATTAGTTTTGTAACTGTATTGATATTTTATGTCATACATAAACAGGTATTTATTTAATTTTTATACATTGTTTGTTTTTGTTTATAACGAGTTCTAAAATTATATAAATTAAATTTTTAGTAATTTTTTAAAAGTTAAAAAACTTATATATCAATTACCTCAAAAATATAGCTAAGGTATGTTTTTTTTTGTGTAAATAAATTAAAAAACACGCCGCGTTTTAATTTTGCTTATGATAATATGTATTAATTAGCTAAATCATTACAAATTTTTATAGAAATGTAAGCTTTTGTATGTTTTTAAATCGAAGTTTCGCAATTTTATTTATTATATTTTATAATTTTTAATTTAATAAAAACAATTTAATGAAAATTTTATAGCTTGTGTAAGGGTACTTATTGTAATAGCAAAAATAATTAAGTTTAATTTTCTATGTTATTACATAGTTTAATAATAAAATTAAATTTAATTAAACAACAAAACAAAAAATAACGCAGCTGTACTGATTAATAAGACAGCAATAAATTCTGGTAGTTGGTATTAAATTAAAAAAATGATTATTTCTTTTTAAAATTTATGCACACAGAACGAAGAATGGTATCTCAAAATTGCATTTTAGTAGGTTATTAAAATTTTTTTATAAAATTGATCTGTTAATGCCTTTTATTTTTGACATGCTCTGTTTACTGATGATTTTGTGGTCTATGTAGCTACAAAGTAACTGTGATATAGATTTAAAAACAAACATAAAAAGGCAAAATACAATACTTTATGTACAATTTGAAGATTAATAGATATCGTTCATGTCTCTAGTTATATTTTGTCAAGTTCGAAACAAAAACATAGTTTTTAAAAAATAAAGCTGTAAGCAAGAAATTTTTTAAATGCAAATTATAATTCTTTTGATCAAATTATATCTAAAACTCAAATCCAAATTTTTAATAGCCTTACAAAATTTATTCTGTTATTATTTTTCCCTTTTAATTTGTTTAGTGCATTAACAAATTAATCTTTTTGTTTTGTTTATATTGCGCAATGTAAATTAAAAACAAATATTAAAATATCAAAATTAATATTAAAGCTGGGCCTTTTTACAAGTATCAAATATGTTACTTTTACAAAAACAGCAGTTGAATTCTGAAACTGTTTTCAGATTTCTTAACGGTTTTAAATTATTTATATAATTTTCAGATCGACATGCTAAAAATGCGTGTATTAGAATTTATAAGATATTTTTTTCTTATTAACTTCATAATTTGCAGTTTAATGCCCAAAGCATCAAATAAATCTAAGATAGTACCTAACTGGCCGCATCCTTTCCAACCTGTTAAAACTAAACATTCCCCTCGAAATTATATGGAAAGTATTGAGTACCCAAAATACTACCCTATAAATAAGAAACAAGATAAAGTTAACAAAATACCACCTGAACCTGTGAATAAGCCTCATTTTTTGATTTATCAATTAAATAAAAATACAGATGAAGTCGATGAAGACTATAAAAAGCGGCCATATGCGTCTACCGCAGCAGATTTAATTATTGATAAAGTTGACGACAATGAAAATGATTTTGATAAAAATTTTTATCATGACCATCTTCCTCCCGCTCCTTATACATATGATGGTTCTGTTGTGGCACATTCTGCATTAATGTAATAAAAATTGTTTTATTTTTTTAAATTGTTGCAGCCTTTGACCAAAATTTATATATTTAGGGAATTCTGTAATTTTTTAAGTTTATTTTGATTTTTATACATGTAAATTATATATAATAATAATTATATTAATGTGCAATTAATATAATTTGAACACATATTTTGTTAGATATTATATAGCTAACATTGCATGAAAAAAATCATTTACTTTTTATTGTATAAAAAGTTACATTTAATAAAAATTTTAATAAATTTATACGTTTAGTAAAAGTTACGAAATTTCAAAAATAATCAAACTATGTTGCAAGTAGCGAAACATTATAAAAACATTTATTTTAATAGATATCGTTAAATTTATAACATTATCAAAAAAATTATAATAAATATCATTTGATGTGTTTGTACAAATCCAGCAAATTTAAACTTGTTTTAATAAATTTATTATAAATTCAGAAATATTCTTTTAAAAAAAATTTCTTAATGAAAGAACTAAAATAAAATATGAAATTATAAAGTTTTAAAAAATAATATATTAAAATATTTTAATTATTAATATCTCGATGAATAACTTCTGTAACTACGAGACCATGAAGATCTTGAAGATGAAAATGGATTTTCTGAAGATAAAGGATCGGGATTTAAAGGGTCGGATATGGGTGTAGTTGTACTTGGTCTGTTCCACCACAGATTGTTTTTTTTGACCTGACTATCTTGGGCAAATATTTTGAATACAAATAAAAACACAAATAATGAGAAAGTGTGGAAATTCATGATCTGTAAAAAATTTTGAATTTAAATATTTTTTCTGAAACATCAATTTTGAAGTTGTTCTTGATAGGTTTAGAGATTTTTTTTATAGGTTAACAATACATTGTTAATCCTATTGTTAAACATCTTTATCGGCATTTGAAAACGTCAAATTTTTAAATCTTTAAAATTTTTCTGACTTGAAACATATCAAATAATTATTCAATTTCTTGTTACCAGAAAAATAAAAAATAATAATATATGCGATAGTGTGTTAACTTTATAAATAAATCAACTTGCACCACAAATTATCAAACATATACTTAAATAGAATTATTGATCAAAAAATGAACAAATTAACCTTGCATTCAAATTAAATTTGTTTTAAGAAACAGCTGATCAAAAAAATGTCTAAATTAACTCAATTAACAAAAAAAATTGTAACGAAAATAACAGGCAAAAAAATGTATTTTATGATTTTTTGAGTTTTAAAACAATTTTGTAAAACAAGGGTCTTTACCTAAATATAATGGACACTAGATAAAATATTAAATATTGTCTAATACATGTTTAATAAAATATTTTTCTATTTACTTTTCTATTTAGTTAAAATCAGAATTCATTTTTTTATTTAAAATAAATTTTTCCGTATTTATACAAAAGTGAAAAAAATTAACTAAGCTCTAAACAAAATTACTAAGCTATAGAAAAATATTACTTAGTTTAGAATACAATTATAATAAATAATATTAAACTTTTGTAAATGAAATACTAAAATATTAATTGCGTTAAAGGTAAAACGTTAATTTTTTTTAGGATGCCGTCTTAACTTTTTACCTTAAAAATGCTTACTTGATATTTAAAACAAAAGCTCAAATTAATCAAAATCAAAAATTTTGTTTCGGAAATTCGTGTTTGTAATTTAAATCTAATTATATTAGAAAAAACAACATATTTTTGACAGATTATGCAAATTTGACATCAAAAAAAGTAAACTGTTAATGTTTTTATAACACTTTTTTCGTCTTTATATGTCAAAAATACAAAAAAAAATATTTTTAAATGATAATATATTTTTTTCAAATATTTTTAATTACAACATTTAAAATAACTATATACAAAAATTTTTTTTCCGAAAAGCATTTACAATTGTTAAATCAGTTTAAAATTTCATTCAAATTTTTTACTTTAAATATCTTTAATTAAAAAAAACCCTTTAACAAAATTTAATTTTATCAAGCATATGTTTATTGCTCTAATTATGTATAATGGATAATATTTGTAAGTTTATTGGTCTAAACAAGTTCTGCTTTTTTTAATTAATATTAACAATAAATTACGATCAAAATATTATTTACATGCAAAATTTTAATAAATGGCGACATTTATTCCATTTTTCATCAATTTTATATTTGTTGTTTAAATAGAACTTAATGTTTTGTTTTATGAAAAATTGTTTGTAGTTCAATTAAATATTATCTAATTGTTTATTTTAAGCGTTTCTAAATTATTAAGTATTTTTTATCATTTATATGCACTGTTAATAAATTTTTTCGCAGGTATTTTTATTGTTACAATAAACTTTTTATTTAAATGGCTCTTTTTTGTTTTATATTTTTTAACAAATTCAAAAATGAATATTAAATGTTTAAATTTTTTACATGATTATATCACTGTTATCTACATTTTTTGCATTAATTTTAAAAGGTATAAAAAAATAAACTAAAAAAATCAATGTCTTTATTAGAAATAAATTTAAAAAATCAACATATAAATATTATAACTATACATAAACTTTTATTAAATTAGAAATCCATTGAGGAACCACCCTCAATACTTCTTGTTCGATTTATACTACTAGTTCTCGAAAATGATCCTGATCCACTAAATGGTCCACCAATTCTGTTTCCCCAAAAATCGCTATTTAAACTTCCAAATGGATAAGAATAAGGATATCCAAGTGGATAAGTATCCCACCAGTTTTTATTGCCAAATCCTTCATTAGTCATGCTTAAGATCGCTTGAATAAGAAACAAAATCATTTTCAACATTTTAAACTGACTAAGAAATTTTTTTTATATAATAAATGTGAAACACTATGACTTTAAACACTAATAATTTATCAATAAATAACAAATACTTTGATTAGTAAAAAAATAAAACAAATAATGATAATCGATATAATTTATTTATCATAAAATATTAAAAATAAATAGGCTGCTTATTTTTTTTTCTGATATTTGATTAGCTAACAAACAGAATGTGACTTAATGAAATGTGAAACCTTAATTTGTTAAAAATTAATTAATTTTAAATTTTTTAGTAAAAAATATTTAATTCTTAAACTCTATAAGATAATTAGGGTAGGTCTCCGGAAATATGGCCAATACAAAATTATTATTTTAATACGGAAAAAGCAAACAGAATTGTAATTTTAATATGTTTATAAACAATACATTTAATTCTATTATATTGATCCTTAATCAATGATTTAGCTTGCAAAGTTGCTTTTTTAAAAATTTTTTAAAATAAAATTTATGGCTATGACATAAATATGTCGGTAATTAATATAATTTTATTTACAACAAAAAAAATATAAGTAGGCTTTTATACAAATGGTATAAAGCTTTTAAATTTAATTATTTTTTAAAGATATATAAAAATTATTCCTCACTTTATAATCCCTGTGTACAATACTTTAGTTACAATCAATATCGGCTATGTTTAAATAAGTATAATTTTTTAACCCTAAAAATTTTTATGGCTGAAAATAAGGAATTAAATAATATTAACGTTAATCTCATTACCTAAAAATCTAAAGATTGACATTTTTGATGATGTTAATTAAAATTAAAGTATTTACAATTAATTTACACTAAAATGTTATAAACAAACATACAAGCTTTTAATCTTAATTTAAATTGTAACAAGATACTTTACTAAAAATAATTTAAAATGTAAAAAACGACAAGATAAATTTGTATGGGCAGATCTAATAATCTGTTCAATATTCTTTAATATTCTGGTAATTGTAGCAGTATTGGTAGGTAGCTATCCAATGCACAAAAAATTCTCTACCACACTTACTTCCTGGTAGAAAAGAATTCGATTAGCATTCAAGCGTAGTTTATAGATCATTTGCTCAGACCGATTCTTTTAGGTGAATTAAGGTGATTAAGGCCCCTATTATGCCTTAGTTTGTAGTTATATTTATTTTAAAATATTAAAATTTTGGGAGTATTACAAAATTTAATGCATATAAAAAATTTCAAAATATTTTTTATAAAAAAGAAGAGAAAAGTCGATGTTGTAATTAATACCATACTAATGTAGAATTAAATCTTAATACAAGTATGCAACTTTTATTTTTTTGAGTTAGTAAAAAATAATTATTAAAAAATTATTCAGTGCAAAATTCAGAAATGAATTATTAGTACGTAAGTCTTAACAAAAGCCCAAATTTTATTTGTATAAACATTTAACTGGTTTTTATCAAATACTAAGTTTTTTATTTAAATATAAATCAATCCTTTATTAATGATTTTGTAATCTGCTAAAATAAATTTCTAAGTTTTAATCATGGCCAATATATTTTAAAAAACAGTTTAACAGTCTCAACCTTAATTAATTTTAAAAGTAACTGTGATAATCTCCAGGCCTCCTACGTGTAACTAAGTAAAATATAACATAATTGTTAATAAAAATCTTTTATTATAAAAATAGTTCCTGTTCATTTAAATCAAATCTTGCCTTTTTTCATTAATTTTATTTATATATTTTTTAAAGAAAAATTAATTAATTTTCTTTTAATATATTTTAAAGTGGCATGAAGAATACCGCAGCAACCTTTTTATATTTTGTATTCAAAATGTATTTGCTTTGAACGCTCTATTTTACAAAATTTTTAGAATCTGCAAGCAAAAGTTGTTCGTTGTATATAAATTTTTTAATATTATTAAAAACATAATCTTAAATCCAATGTTCGCTCCTGGTTGATTTATATCTTTTGTTTTCAATAATTCTTAATTTAAAATATATTGTTCAAGTATTCGCTTTTCAAAATTAAATTTATCAATAACATTTTGATTTTTACGGTGCCTATTAATCTTAGTAAGCTTTTCTATTTGTTCTTTATTCCCTACATCAAAAATTTTTGGCTCGCAAACATTCTATCTGAAAAATTTGAAGGGGTTTACATAAATTCTAAAATCTTTAAATTTTAAAATGAAATGTCCGTAAGCCATTAGTTGATTGCTATTATAGTTCATTAAATAGATTAAAGTTAGGTAGGCGTGTATAATTTAAAGGTACAATTTTGTAAACCAGTAAAATTATATCAAAGAATCATGTTTACTGATTAAAGCACATTTAAGAAAGTTCATTTGAATGTAATTCCTTACAATTGTTTTGTAAATTTTTTTTCTTAAAAAAACTTACTATTGTAGTAATAGAGAATAAATCTAAAGAAATACACATTATTAAAGTGGGTTTTATTTTTCTCAATAATCTACAAAAAGTGAAGATCAAAAGTCTACAAAATTACATTTTTTAGCTAATGAGTTGAGGTAATACATGGATGTAAAACACGATAAATTCAATAAATATAACATAAGACAGTATATAATGACAAAATAACACGCAAAACATAGAAAGTCATCAGAAATATTAGATCAGATAGAAGCGTACATCCGAGAGGAATCTTAAGAAAGCCCTTAATGGCCTTGCGCTGTAGTGCAGAAGAGGAGACTTAATATTAGCTAAATATGAGAATAACGAAAATGCACATGCGAAATAGGCACGCTCGGGATTGAAGCTAACAAATAATATAAGAAAAAAGCTAAACCTTAAAAAAAATTTTTTCATGTTTAAACATCTACATATATTTAATAGCCTTACAGTACATACTCAAGAACGTAGTCTGAAATTATAAGGATCTTAATATTCTTTAAATCCGTAGCTATAAAAAAAATTTGATCAATATATTAAAGTATTTATAACTCTTTCAATTTAATAAAATGCCAAACATATTGCTATTAATGTATTGATCTATACCATCATTTACATTGAATGGCAATAGAATCACAACAAAAAAAATCAAAAATGTACAAATCATTAAATTTATTATTTGTTTTGATTTCTACTTGATTCAAAAGAATCAATAAACTGTATAAAGGACTTTTTCTTATTTTGTAAAAAATTTGGTTTTCTAAATTTAGTTTAACATGTTGTATTACTTGGTTTTAATAATCAGTAAACAATTTTTGACTTAAAGTTTTTTTTTTCTTTTTGACATAAAAAAATTGTTCGTTTTTTTTAAAATTTAGAATATAACTTGTCAAATTTATCACTAAAACTTTTTATTGATTCACTGTTTTAAAAAAAATATAAAAAGAAATTTTTTTTCTTTTTTAATGTTGAGTTTATTCTTGTCATGTATTTTAGCAACAGCAGCCAAGACTAGCCCTGCAGCCTTAAACGAGTCATCGGGTAATATGAACCCATTAAGTAAAGCACTTATTATTTTAGACTTTATTTTTTTACTTTATGTAGTATTTTCTCCAGAAAATAGATTTAAAGAATATACTCGATTTTTATTACTAGTTCATGGATCAGCACCAATCCTCTTTTATGGAGCAGAAATGATTGCACCTGGCAATTTTTATTTAATAATAGGAATATTTTTCGCTCTAGTAGTTCTGTACTATTTCTTGTGTCAGATTGATCTATTTGTGCAAATTATAACTATTGTAAATTGTTGTCTATTGGTAGGTGTAGTAATATCGAGTTTGCTTAAAGAAACATCTTACTCTATCATGGGTTCAATTGGCGGGCCTGTAATCGCTGCCGCGATTTTTATATTCTTGGGAATAACTAGATTTGATACTTTATACAAAATTCACACAATATTCGTTTGTTACATTGTTACCACGATATTAATTGAGGCTTTAACCAACGTACAAGTCTTTAGCAATGCCGGAAACGATGTAAAAACATCTTCTTTGAGCTTCTTAATAGCAGCTACCGTGTTTGGTATTCTTACTTTCCTCTTGTTTTTCAAATAAAATGTGTATTATGTTGAATTAAGTGTTTAGCGTACATTATTTATACAAAAATTTTTTTTCTTTAAGAAAATATTAATTGTTCTACATAAGTATTTCTTTTGGTTTTATTTGTCTAGTAACAGTTTTTAACAACTGTTAAATAGAGATCTTTATCTTTTAAACATGAAATTTACTACCCGGGCGTAGGTTTGCATTGAATTTTAATTAAAAAATTTAATTGCTGTTAATATAAAGTCTAGAGTCTGAAGTTTTCATATTTTCTTTAAACACCTTCACGCCTAGATTGAAAGTCTAATTTTATTTTTTATAATATAGTTTAATTTGCTTGTTAATAAACAAATATTTGATAAACATAACAAAACAAAAAAGAATTAATTAAAAATGTCGACAATACGACAAAATACATATATGTGTATAATTTATTTGTAAAAGAAACTACAAACAAATACTTGTAGCACAACAATAAAATTTTAGTGTAATTTTAACATCTTTGCCTTAATCTATTAATTATATAATTATTTAAAAGTTTTAATGTTTAAAACTAACAAATTTTAGGTTACATCAATTTTGCTTTAAAGATATGACATATTTTTAAAAGACTGAAACACTAAATTTAAAACAAAAAAATAATAATTACAAATGAATATGATTAGTAATTTTTGTTTTATATTATCTTCAACCTTGAAATCATCACAATCCAATTTGCTATTTTCAATTATTGCAGTGATAGATCTTATCCTACTTCTATATGTTGTCCACAGTGGTGCGGAAAACCTTAAAAAACACATATCATTTATTTTATTATCTCATGGTACAGTAATATCTTTAAAAGAACTATTTAATTTAAGTATTTTTACCAGTTTAATTTTATCATTAATTACTATTCTAATATATTATAATATAACTTACAACACAATAATGGTAAGATTAATATGTTTAATTAATTGTATATTATTAGTAGTAGTAATAAAAACTAATATTGTAAGTAGAGATATTTTCAGTCCTATATTCTGCTTGCGTGCATTATTTTTTACTAGCTGTCTGATAGGTATACTTGCAATAACAAGTTTAAATGTTACACTTAAGATACATACTGCCTTAGTAGGCTTTATTGTATGTACATATATATTAACAGGTGTAGCAGGTATAAATTTATTAGAATTTAATACTACAGATCCAAATGGAAATGTTATAGAAAATAAAAATGGACTATTCACTTCGATGATAAGTATTTGCATACTATTAGCACTATTTTATATAGAATTTGCATTTTAGTAGCAGAGATAAAAAGTAAACATATAGCTTTTTTAAATTAATGATTTTTTTTACAACGTAAATTAGCAACTAACTAAATCACCTACTATTACATTTTTTAAATTCAAAGCCGTTGTTATAAAAGTAACGAATTAGACAAAAAGTTCTTATAATAAATTTATTTAAGTATAATAATTTTAGTTTATCTCAATTTACTTGTACAGGCTGTGACATGCCTTTATTTTTTAGCTTTACTATTTCTACAAATTAATTTTCTCTAATATGTTCTTCTACATTAGTGAGGCAAAGCTCTAGACAATAATGTTCTTTTATTTTAAACCCTTTCATGTCATTTCCTAGTTTAGAATTCAAAAAATCTGTCCTTATAGAACATTTTAAATTTCTTGGATTTTACGTAAATGATGGTATAAAATATGGCATAGATTTTTTATTGTACACCGACGATCCTTCTAACGTACATTCAAAATACGGTGTACTAATCGAAAATAATCATTCTTTTTTTGATTTAATGAGTGTACAAAGGGTTTGTAATTCAGTTAAAAAAGAATTAATAGTCGTTGTATTCAAAAATAGTACACAATTTGAATTATTCTCTGTTGAAAGATTTATTGTTTGATTGCAAATGATAAAAAAAGAAGAATAATAAACTTTTTATTTAAGATTGTGTTGTTTCTTCTCCCCCCAATACATTATTTTTTATAGCAACTACTTCCTCCACTTTTTTATCTGCCCAACTTGAAAAATAAGTAATACTAATAAAATAAGTCGCTACTAGTAATAAAACAATCAATGCTAGGCCATAATGTAATATTTTAAGTCCTATACTTTCATTTCCACCGTGTAAACCATAAAAGATATTTATAAGACCTGATAATTGAATTAGTGTTACAACTGATATAGTAACTGTAAATATCTTGGATAAGCATATTTGTAATTTTTCTGAACCACTTATCAATACAATCAATATAAGATACACTATCGCAGCAAATACTCCAATTTTTATTATACTTGCTATTTTTACTATTATAGCTGTTAAATATGAAATCCCAAATGCATTTATTAGGGCTATAAATGTTTTAAAAAGCCTATCATTGATACTTAAGACTGTGCACGCTGGTGAAGCAATAAACGATATAATCCATGCTATATTTGCGAAATGCGCATATCCTATTGTGTAAATTGTAACATCTACACCAAAAAAAATCCCTTGGAAAATGACTACCTGTTTTTGAATAGCAGTTATAAATCCTCTGCGCATCATTACAATGAAGATAAATAAGCATAGCCATGCGCCATAGATACATCTATAAAATATTCCCAGACCAGGTTCAGCAAAAGAAGGTATTGCTATTGCTATCTCACCTGTTGTTGATGCTGGTGGTGGCGTCGTTGCTTGAATAAATCTTAGTAATATAACAATGTATAAAAATTTTTGCACAGTTTTTAGTAATTTTCTCATAGACGTATTATTAAATTAATTCTTAAATAATTAAAGGAGACTAAGAATCAATAAAAAATAAGGAGAAACATTTATAAATTGTAATAATTAACGTACAATTTTACCCCTTATTATGAGCGTACAGGAAAAACTTAATTATTTTTTTAAAAAAGATAAATTTTACATTTTAATTGGACTTGCTTGTGTGTCAGGAATAATTTTGCGAAAATTTTTTAAAAGTAAACAAGTTTAAAATTGCTGTGTTTTTTCTGCACTATTTATATAATCTGCTAACTATAATGTAATTAATAACTGACAAAAACGATAAAAATTTGCTAGTTAATGATAGCATTTTTTAAGTATATCAGATAAAACTTATATAGTACAATTTTTTCTATTACTTTTCACTTTAAATAAAATGCTTTTCTTTAGTTCTATTAACTATATCTCTATATTTTACCCTTATTAATGTCTACATACATTTATGGAAAACTTACTAAATCAAGATTTTACACACCAAATAAAACATATTCTCACAAAATTAGTTTTCCTGTAGGCATGATTATTAATCATTATGTCCCATGCAAAATTGATGACACCAATCAATTACAAGTATTTTACGTGTCTCCGGTCTTTAATAGCTATCTAACTGTTGCCGAAGAAAATGTATATAAATTGTATGCACTTGACAACAAAATGACTATCACTAAAACAGCAATAGAGCCCAATAAACTTTATACATTTAGGATTATAGAAGAAACCAATTCACTCCGTGTATGTGAAATATATAAAAATGATATTCTTTGGGTTGGTAAAAAAACTACCGGCAAAATTAAACTTAATAAAAAAAATTGTGAAGTTATTACGCCTTTTGGCAGAGGAGAGTGTCTTTTACAGAATAACTCTTACATCAAAAACTTGAATGTTATTTTATGGAAGATACAAAACGATAAAATGTGGTTTGTAGAGGTTGATAATCCTGTTACAGGGAATATTGAAGTTACAATAGATAGCGTACGTGATACATTTATATTAGTTTCCAATGAAAATATACGCGGACTGTTGTTTAAAACTACAGATAATGATTTAGAAGATACTAAACGAGAAAAGAAAGTTTTAAGAGTGTACGTTAAAGAAGAATTACTCGGTTTTTATATTTTTGATGTGTATTCTGATTTAGTACTTGGTGAATACATTGAAGCTACAGTCGTTAAAAAAACAGATTCACATTTACTACTTAAGTATCAGTCACATAATGGAATTATTTCTAATGGCAATGTAGATCCTTTGATTTTTAATAAAAAATTTAGTAAAATTAAAGGTAAAATAATCAATATAACTGATGGAAAGTTTGAACTATCACAAATACAACAGATTAGCGTTCCTTTTGATATACAAAATATTAGTGATAGTGAAGATGTCAAAGAGGATACAGAAATTAGTAATACACTAACAGATATATTAAATTTAATAAAAAAATATACGGAAGGTAAAAGGTATAAAGAAGTAACTGATATTTTTTATAAACATATTAATACACTAAATAGTACCGATAAAGATAATTTATGTTTAGTATACTGTAATTTTTTACAGTATACTATTCAAGATAAGCATTTATTGCTAAAAGAAATTAAAAAAGTGTTTAAATTGTGTTCTGATAAATTAATAGTTAAATTAGGACTGGTATCAGATAATATAGATATAATAGAATATTGTTATAGGAAATCTACAAATAAAGATTTATACAAGAAATATTTAGAAATGTGTTATAAATTGGATATTGAAGTAACTGACTATTCTTACCTTGATGTAGCAATAAACTTTATATACAAGTATGAAGATATGCCAAGAATAAAAACAGAAAAAATAGTCGGTAATAATAAAGCGGGATGGATTAGTTATATAAATAATGAGGATGATGATTACAAGCGTATACTATTTCGTAGAGTTGTAGATATGAAATGGAAAATAAATGATACTAAGGAGTTTTATAGAATGTGGATGCAATTCGAGAAGGAACATAACGGCAATGTTGAAGAAGTAAGAACACGAGCAAAAGCGTTTGTAGAAAATATAAAGAAAGAACGGATTTAAAAAATTCTACACTTTAATAAATTTTTTTGCACAATGAACTACAACAGCCTAAAATAACATAGCATTTAAAATTATTAATTTCATTATACATTTATTTTATAAATTTTTTCTTAATTTGTTCTGTATCCTCTTCTAATTTTTGTAATATCGCATTTTTAACATCAATTCTAAGCCTCTTTATCTGTAATACTTTTTTATTAACATTTTTTACATTCTCACTTATTCGATTACATTTCTCAATGACGATTGTTATCTGCTGGCGTAATTCATTTATTATCTGTGTAACATCTATATCTTTTAATTTTTGTATTTCTGATTTTAATATATCAGATTCGTAATTAAATTTATTTTCTATGTATTTTTTGATATCTGTATATGATTTCTCAAATTGATCTTGTACTTGTTTAATTTGTTTTTGAGTTTTGGAATTTAATTCTTTTTCTATAAATTTTAATAAATCTTTTTTTGACATTTTTATGCATAAAACTTTTAATAAATATCAAAAATTTAGTGTAAAAATATTTTGTAAAGGAACAATAATATTTTATAAATTTTCAATAATTTTTTAATCCATGCAAGAATAAAGCAAAACCAATAAAATATTGCTGGTAATTTTCATCTCACTGTTATAATTTTATTTATCTTCTTCTACTTATTCTTTAATTCATTTTTCAAATTTAGTGAATAAATATTTTCACTTTACTGTTATAATTTTATTTATCTCCTTCTACTTATTATTTAATTCATTTTTCAAATTTAGTGAATAAATATTTTCACTTTACTGTTATAATATCTTTCTATATTCATCCCCTTTTACTTAATGCTTAATTCATTTTTAAAAACTGATTTTATTACTAGAGGCCTTCCTTCTATTTCAAATGTAGATTTAGAGAACAAGCCTCTTATAGAACAATTAGAGTATTGTAACATTAATTATTTAATTTATCTGTATTCTACACCTACACACTATAAAAAGTCAATTAGATTACTGCAGAAGTTTATAAAAAGGAGTTTTAAAGATTTATTCGTTATAGAACAAATATGGCTTACTTGTATAAAGTTTAATGACCGTAAATTACTTGAAATGAACATGACTGTTTATAAAAGATTTTTTAATAGAAGTCTTGATAAATTAAGAATTTTTAAAGAATTAGACGAGAACAAAATATCTGTAGAAGATGATGAGATTAGGTTTTTTAACAATAAATGTACAGAAATATTTACTTTATTGTGTAATAATAATCAATCATTTACATATCAGAGCTTTTTAATTTATAAAAAATACAATAATAACTTTTTTATGGATATTGATAATAAAATGGTATATAACTATAAATGTGGTACAGATGAATACATAAAAATTCTAAAAAAACTTAAAGATTTTCTTTTGAACGGTTTAGATATTAATATATTGTTTTTATATACATACATAAGTAAAATGGGGTGTCTGTTAACAAAATGTAATAAAAAGTGCTACAGCGAGAAAGAAACCGAATTGCGTAAATTACTGTTAAATGATCTCTTTTTAGAAAAAGTGGGAATTGATGATCGCAATTTTTTACTAAAATTTTTTAAAAGAAATAAAGAGTGTCATGATACTGTAAAACTTATAAATTATGAAAAGTTAGAACCACTACAGCCTGTCTTTAAGGCGGTGGTACATACAAATGAAATATCTTCTGATAATAAATATGTGACTAGAGATTATCGTAATAATGCACATAAAAAGAACGTTTACACTGAAGAGATGTATAGTATTATTGGATGCTTATATACTAAACGCGTCAGAGATAATCTGATTATTGAACAGACAAGAAGAAAGAAACTTAAGCACACTAAAAAATTAAGAGTTAAATAAAATTTTGATTATATTACTAGTGTTTATAAAAAACAGCATTTTTTAGACATCAGTGATATATTGAAAAATAGCATAAACAAATAATACTAAAATAAATTAAAAAAAGATATATGTATTTAAAATAACATACATCGAACTTTAAATTTAATATTACAATATAAATCATTATAAAAAATATTTAATTTATCAATTCATTTCTTAATGTCTCATACTTACCCTTCAAAATCTCTAATCCTTTTCTTAAAATATCTACTGGTCTACCAAATCCTTCGACAACTTCTACGCACATTTTAACTTCGGTAATTTCATCTATAAGATTCGCCTCTTCTTCTTTACACTCATTATCTACATCTGTTTCTCTCCAGTATGTAGTACTCCTACTTCTATTACCACTATCATATTCAAAGCCGACTACTGATACTGGACTCCACTTACTGTGAATCTTTCCTACACCCTTAAACGCTTTACAAATTACTTTTAGATTTTGCCGTGTACCCAATTTACAGATAACTGGCGAACTTCTAATTACCACATCATCCTGACTTTTAAGATCTTTACATGTTACAACCATAGGCATATCAGTATTATTAGAAACATTAAGTGTCAAAGAGACACTACACTTATCACATATATCATCACAAGCACAGTCATCTCTAAAAACAAGATCCTTTTTAGTGTACAATGGTACTAATCCTAGTCTATGGCTTATCATTTCATCGGGTAATGAAGTGTTATTTATTTCTATTTCTACAAGATCAATAGTAACAGTAGGAACTTCTGAAATAAGAATCCTACGCAAAGCGTTGGCATAAGATACATATGTATCACGTAAGGTGAATTTTATTATGTTATCAGTAGACTCTTCTATAAGTATCTTCATATCAAAAAAGGGTATTAACAGAAAAAACAGATTTATTCTTTGTAAGCATATAGTTTTGTACAGCACACTAGTCCACAAAATACTGTAATTTGTAAACAAAAAGAATACAAAAATGAACTATTAAAATATAAAAGTACAGGAATAGCAATTAGGAATACAAATTTATAAATTAGTAAAATTTCTGAATGAAAATAAAACAGACTAAGAAGTGTAAATGTGATGGTTAAAAAAATCGATAAATTATTTAGTATTTTATATTTCATTTTTAGGAGGGTAAAAAAGTATTTGTAGTTAACATTGCACAAAATTAAATATTTAAAAAAAATTTATTTTTTTCCTTTTAAAATAAATATTGTCTCTCCTAAAATTTTTCTAATTTTTTTTATTTGAACTGTATATCCCTTTGCCTCTATTTTTTTAATTATTTCTTTTGGTTTATTAGCTTCAATAACTAATAAATAAAATATATTACATTCTATTTCTTTTATAAATCTGTTTATGATAGCACATCCATCTACCCCTCCTCCAATAATTGAACAATTTGAATTTAAAACGTATGGAGGATTGAATATTATTATATCTATTAAATCCTGTCGGATACAATTTAAAAGGTCCATGTGTATCAAATTACCCTCTTTTTGTTTTTTTAATGCTTTTAAATTTAAATCTGAACCTATTATTACATTAGATTTGTCTAAAGAATTAGTAATAAATCCTGTACTAGTCCCAAGATCAATAACTAATGAATTTTGTATATTTTCCTCTTGTAATACATCAACTAAAGTATAACTATCTTCATCAGGTGAATACCAATCAAAAGAATTCATATTAAAGGGTAAATATTTGTTTGGTCATCAAAACAACCCAACATCTTAAAGATAGTAAATTATATCTTTCTTTTCTTAATATGCTTATCACTAATTGTAAAATCTAGTTTAATTTCTTTAGCATGTAAAATAACATAATCATTGTTAGATATTACACATATGACTTTATTTTTAAATTCATTTGTCAGCTCTTTAATTTTAACATATTTATTAACAAATAAAATTTCAGCTAAATGTTCATCTTTGTTTCTATTAAAATCTGCTCTACAATAATAAATAAAAAATTTAAAGTAATTTAACAAATTCATCTCTTCATTTGCTTTAACCGGACATTTTAAATAATTCACTGAATTATCAATTGAGGGAAATGTAATATTAAAATTATTGAAATCTTCTATAATTTTAAACAAAAGACAAGAAGAATATGAAGGTGGTTCGGTGACTTGTATAGAATTTGTGTGTAAAGGAACAAAGGTTTCTACTTCTTCTGATATTTTCTTGAAGTAATTTTCGTGTTTGCAAAGCTTTGTACTTAATGTTTTATACAACAACATCTCTTTATTATCTAATCTTTTGTATTCTTGTTCTTTCATATCATTCCAATCTACAATGGATGAATTCTTTTTTATGTACTTGTCAATATAATATTTGTTAAGAGAAACAAGTTCCTTGTACAAATATTTATTAAAAGGGATAATTACAGACAAATCATTATTAGATCTTAATAAATTATACTTCGATTTTAGTTCAAAATACGCTTTAATATAAGCAGGATAGTCTTCTTTTATATCACTATTTATGATATGTAAGAGTTCATGTAACTCAAAAAATAATATTTTATCAAATTTAAAACCATAATGTCTAAAAGAATTTGTATTCTGATTCAATGGAACATAAATATCAAAATACTTAATTATAATCATTAAGGGTACAAATAAATTCTAAATATCACAATTTAAAAATCTATTAGACAAAATATAAAAGTTAATTTCTTTTGATGATTTAACTAAATATTTTTGATTTAATTTATAAATGTCTAAGATATCAATTTTAGGGAAAATTTTATACAATCTATTTTACAAAAGTAAATAAATTTAGCTATTATCGATTTAATTAAATTTATGCAAAATTTTAAATTATTTATATTTTACATTTTGTTTGTTTTCTTTTTATGCAGAGTATTTTTAAAAAATATAAATAGAAAAAAAAATTAGCCCTTAATGGAGCATAAAAATTATCCAGCAGTTAGACCTAAATCTATGGAAATTGGGACTACGACTATCGACCTTGAAACAAACATGTTTAAGTATACTGGTAAGATGATTACTCTACATTATTATGATGTAAGATTTACACCTGAAATTAATAGGAAGTTTGTTTTTGAAACATTTATGAGGGCTTATTCAGAGCATAAGGCGGATTTTCCTGAAATAGCTTTTGATGGTGTTAACACTCTTGTATCTACAAATCATTTTCAGAACAAGACATTGAAGTTAGGAAAGGAGAAGATTATTACAATTGATATTGTTTATAAAAATTCTTATGACATGAATGATTTCAAGAAAGGTATGGATATGAGTCAGCACATTCAGTGTTTGGAGGTTGTAACAAGGTATTGGCAGAAGTTAAATAGTATTAATGATAGGCACAGAGTGTTTGATGAAAAGTCAGATGGAGCATTAAGTGCAGTTATTGAGTTAAGGATTGGACTTGCTCATAACATCAAACTTACTTCTAGTGGTTTTTATTTAAATGTTGACACGGCATTCTCAGGTTTTTACAAGAGTATGCCACTTACAGAAGTTATTGTGTCACTTATCACTGAATCTAAAAGGCAATCTCATAGATTTGACAGAAGGGATAATACTCAATACAAGAGAAGGAATGATTCTGTAGACTTATCAAGAGAAAATCTAGGAGAAAGATTTTGGTATGATTTTGAGAAATTTATTAAAAATGTTAAGGTAAAAACTAATCACCGTGGGCCAAAGCAAAATGAACTTAGTTTTAAAGCATCAGGAATTTTGAAAGAACCTGCTAGCAGTTGTAGGTTCGAAATGGATGGTAAGTCGTATACCGTAGCAGAATATTTTGCGAATACTTATAAGCCGCTTATGTATCCGAATTTACCTGTTGTTATAATTAAGAAAAGAGGAATGGAATTATATTTTCCCATTGAAGTGTTAAACATTCATGCTGGGCAGAGATATGTTAAAAAGTTGGATGAACAACAAACAGCTACTTTGATTAAATATGCTGCCAAACCACCAGTTGAAAGGTTTAGCATTATTCAGGATAAGCTTAGGGATTTACCAATTTTGAAGAATAAGGAAAATGATTCTTTTAATGTAGTCTTTGATTCCAACTTTGCGAAGTGTAAAGGTAAGTTATTACAGACTCCTAAAATTAAATTTGCGGGAAATGATGAATCTGCTAAAAAGGATGTGATAAAAGGTAGTTGGAATTTGTTTAAGGCATCTGCTCTTAATCCGGTTAAGATTAAGAATTGTAATGTTTTCTTTTTTAGCGATCCACAAAAATTTAACATCAGAAAATCTCTCGGTGGATTTGTTGATGCAGCTAGAAAATATGGTGTGATATTTGAAACGAATCCTCAAGTAATTTGTGTTCGAAATGTCGATGAGATTATTCAAGAAGCTAATAAGCCAGGAGCAGCAGCAGAAATTTCATTGGTAGTTTTACCTGATAAAAGTACAGCAAGATATGAAGAAATTAAGAGGAAAACTGAGACAAGATCAAGAATGGTAACTCAATGTGTATTAGAAAAGAATTTTTCCAGATTGGACAATCCTCAATTTGCTGGTAATCTTTTGTTAAAAATTAATTCTAAATTGGGCGGTGTGAACTTTAAGGTTGATAAAGAATTTTCAGTAGTGAAAGGAAAAGCTACTTTGGTGATAGGAATTGATGTAAATCATCCTGGTATTGGTGATTTGAACAGTCCAAGTGTTGTAGCTATTGTTGGAGGAATGAATAATGAACTTACATCTTTTAAAACTATTATTAAGCAGCAAGACAGAAGACATGAGATAGTTGAAAATTTGAAGGATGACATTATTGTACTGCTTAAATCCTTTTATGCGAAAGCTAAGGCTAAGCCAGATCAAATTATTATCTTTAGGGATGGAGTAGGTGACACTATGTTCCAAGAAATATTTCAAAAAGAAATTGATGCTATTAAGCAAGGTTGTGAGAAGATTGAACAAAAGTATAGTCCTAAAATTACTTTTATTGTAGCTCAGAAGAGACATTCAATAAGATTTAATGTTCCTCCTTCTAGCAACTTTAAAAATGCCGATAGGGGAAATGTCCCACCTGGTACAGTAGTGGAAGAGATTGGGCATCCTATTTTATTTGATTTTTATTTAGTATCTCATCATGCCCTACAAGGAACAGCAAGACCAGTAAGGTATTTAGTTTTATTAAATGAATCTGAATATAGTGCTGATCAGATTTATGAATTTGTTTACGGAATTTGCCATAACTATGCGAGAGCGACCAAAGCTGTCTCTGTAGTACCTCCGATTTATTACGCGCATTTGGCTGCCTTCAGAGGAAAAGCTTATCTTGAGAAAGAGCATGGCTCTGATAAAGTTAATATGGTCCAGCACAATCCTGCGTTGGATGATAAACTTTACTACGTTTGATTAAAAGTTTATTTTTATGTTGGTTTATAATCTAAAAAATTATTAATGTATTTAAAAAATATTTTTTAAATTTAAACTTTACAGATTATAAAAATAGTATTTGTTTATTGCTACCTTATAAAAAAATGAATACTTTTTCACAGAAATCTATTTATACAAAAGAAATGAAAGCTATATTATTAATGTATATTAATAAATAAAATGTGGATTACACATTGTACTATTTTTACACTAGTGTAAAAAATAAAATGAAAGAATATTAATACAAAACATGAGTTTATTCAATAATTATTATTTAATAATAGACATGTCAAAGCCATCAACTTAATACTGCTGATTGGCGTGTCTACATCTTTACTGTCCTAAAAAGAAAATTATAAGAAATTTAATTACTCTCTTTTATAAAATTTTATTGGTATTAAAAAATACTATAAACTTTATAAAATTTAATTCTTGTTTAAAAAAATTAGTTATTTTACTTTTTTTGATTTATCTTTTTCCTAAAATATTTGTAAAAAATAATAATAATTTTTTTTAATTTATAACCATAGAAAATCTGACAAAGGTTAAAAATCTTAACTTATACTTTTATTATAAACTTTTTTCAAAAATCATAAATGCCATGTGTCAATTAATCACATTTGTAAGATTTTTATACTATTTCTAAAGATTTGGTAAATGTTCAAAATATTTTAGTATTTTATATTAATCACATTTGTAAGATTTTTATACTATTTCTTAAGATTTGATAAATGTTCAAAATATTTTAGTATTTTACATTTACGCCCTATAATATGTCAATTTTGAAATTTTATTTTGTATTATTTACCATACTTTTAGAAGTTGTAGGAAGCTCTTACAGTTTAAAGATAATAAATCCGGATGGCTTTACTTATATTTTTTCTAAAACTGATAAAATTGCTACTGAAATCCAAAGATGCGACCAAATTAATATTAATTTCGATATTAATAAAAAAACACGGATAATACACCATCCATCAATGTTTTGTCTGGCAATTAATATGTTCTCTAAATGTAAAATCAAGGCCATTCAAAAAAATTCAGTAGTTCTGATTAAACAATTTGAAGAACAAAATTCAATAAGTATAATTGCTAAATTTGACAAAACAACTTATATTGATTTTCCTTTAAGTAGTTCTAACATAAAACATAAGTTTCAAATAAAGAACCCTAACGATAAAAATATAGAAATTATTTGTAGGAATTTTGAGCGCGTGGTTTCTGCTGATGCACTAGACCTTATATTTTTTGCTAGTGAAAAAACGAAATTAACATTGCATCAGAAAGATAATTACTTAATTTACAATTTACAAGCAGGATTGTACATAGAACCTTATATTTTTCTAGGTGATAATTTAAATTCTAGTTTAGTGCCACAGATGTTATATCAGAGCATTTGTTTAAAATTTAAGTGGGCAGAAGATACCGTAGTAAATATGAGAACCTCGGGGGTTAAGTTTGCGATTTGATATTCAATGTAAATATAATTTTTTGGTAATACTAATAATTTTATATATACAGGGCTTTTTTAAGATAATTCTGTTGTGCTTATGTAAAGTATTTAGATGTTAACCTGAGAGGTTGTGTCCTGCGCAGGGTGTTTTTAATATTTAACGTGTTATTAAAAATTTTTTTTACGAAATCTTCATTCAAAATTCATAAAAAAAAATCTTTTTTTTTGATAACTTTTTTACTGTAAATTTAACAGTTTACGCATCTTAAGATTTCATATTGTTGATACAAAACATGGGTTTATTCAATAATTATTATTTATATAACAGATATGTCAAAGCCATCAACCCAATACTGCTGATTGACATGTCTACATCTTTACTTCCTACACATAGCATTCACAAATATTGTAAAAGATGTACAGATAAAAAAACAAACATTAGTGTTTAATTTACTTAAAATCTAATATAAATTTTTGTTTGATAGAAAATGAATATTTATCCCGTACAAATGCATTTTATTTTTTTGTAATATCATTTACTTCGTAAAAATTTTTACTTTAAAAGTTTATTTTAAAAATAAAAGTTTTAAGGCGTTTATACCCAAAACAAATATATTTCTTAGATATAGTTACTCCTTATTTTTATACTATAAAATATATTTTTATTATGATGAATATATTTAAATCGAACAATAAGTACCATTCTTCTTTTTATTATAAATTTTTAATTTATCTAATTTTAAAAAAGTTTAATATAACACTGTTTTAATAAAAAATATTTATTGTAAATGTGAAGGTAGATTATCAATCATAATAACATTTTCCAGGTTAGTATTAACTTCAATTACTGTAACAAACCCTTTATTATATTGTTCTTCTTTGACAACTATTAGATATTTTATTCCATGTTTAACACAATATTTTTTGTGTTCTCCTGGATTATTTCGTTTATTGTAAAATGTCTCGAGGCTGATGTTCGCTTCCCAAAGAATACTCTGAATTTTTAATCTTTCTTCTAAAAATAATTTACCCGACGCACTAATAAAGACCTTTACATTTGTATTAACTTTAGGCTTTTGTATACAACTAAAAATCCTTGATAAACCAATAGAAAACCCAGCACATGGAACGTTATATGTGTTTGTATACGAAGAATTTTCAAGAGATCCAATTAAATTATCGTACCTACCTCCACCCGCTACAGAGCCAATATTTTTATTTAAATATTTACCTTCTATAATCATTCCAGTATAGTAATCCAGTCCTCGTGCTAAGCTTAAGTCAATAATAAGGTGGTCAGAACACTTCATTATCTTGCAGTATTCATATAATTTACATAAATCATCAACCGCTTCACTACACTTTTTATACACATCGTTTTCTCTCAAAAAATCTAACACGTCCACAGTTCCCGATTTTTGAATGTAGATATTAAGATTAATAATTTGTTTATCTGTTAATCCTTTTAATTTAAGTTCTTTATTAATATCATTTACAGCCATTTTATCTAATTTATCAATACTAGAAGATACAGTTGCAAAAAGATTATTAGGTATTTCACACACCTCAAAAATACCGTATAAAATACGTTTATCACTTACGCGTATTACGAAATCTCCAATATTATACGTTTTTAGTAGTCTGTTCATACAACATACAAGTTCAGAATCCGCCATCATCGGAAGACTTTCACCCGCGATATCAAAATCCGCTTGTAAAAATTCGCGCCACCTCCCCTGTACCACACTTGGTTGATCTCTCCGGTACACTTTTCCAATCTGGTATCTTTTTATTTTTTTTAGCTTGTTCATTGACATATACCGCGAAAAAGGGACAGTTAGATCGTATCGCAGTGCACATTCCTCACCACCATTATTTTTCAAGTCGTAAATAAGTTTAGTATCTTCGCCATATTTATTTAGTAAAATTGATTTTAATTCGAAAACTGGTGTATCAATAGGCACTGCACCGTGTAATTTAAAAATATTTTTTGTTCTATCAATTAAATCTTCGTACACTAGTGCGTCATCAGGGTTTAAATCAGTGGTTCCTTTAGGGGTTTTAAGTGACATTTAAGGGTAAAAATTTTATTTTTTGATTACAGAGAAGTAACAGTTTTTAAAATGAGAGAATCTGTCTTTACTAATACTTATATTGTTTAGAAAGAATTTTTATTGCTAATTTATTTTAATAAGGATGGTTATTTTTATAACAAAGCAATTAATAAAAAATTTATGTGTTTTAAATGAACTGTCTAATTTTTTAAGATTGAAAGATAAAAAGGAACTCAAAAGCATTATTTTATTTACAATACATAGGATTATACAAAGAGTATACGAAGATTATATTATAGAAAGATCATAAAATATAAAGAATTTTCAAAGATCATAAAATATATAGAATTTTCAAAGGTCCATAAAACACAAGATTAAATACAAAGATAATACAACACAAAGATTATACAACACAAGATTAAATACAAAAATTATACAATACAAAGATTATAACTACAATAAATAAATTAACTTAAAAAAGACTATAATATATTTTCTTTATTTACAACATTAAATTTTAAGTTTCAAATTATTTAAAACTTTTTATTTGCATAAACAATGAAAGAGCTTATTCCAAGTAAAGATCCTATATTAACTGTAGACACTAAAAATATTATTTCTGTAATAAATAGAAATATTAATCAAAGTACAATTGATAAGAATAGTCTTTTTACTAATCTTAAGTTACTTATACACACTGATACAGAGGATAGTGTGATTAGAGATTTATTATTAAATTGTACTAAAAGATTAATAAATACAATTAATAATTGTACTAGTACAGAATTTAATATTATAGATGAAGTATTATCTTGTGTATTAGAAACTAATACTAATTATTCTTTTATAGATACACAGATATTAGACACTCTGTGTATTTTATATTTAAAAAGCGTAAAATTTAATTTTTCGTATTTTTTACAAAAAGCGCGCATTCATGAAAAGCACAGATTTAAGATATCAAATTTTCATTCAGTAGAAATTTACAATATAAATTCTTTATCACTGCTTATTAATAATTTTTATAAAAATAGTATAGATGATCATTTAAAATATATTAGGATATTTATTGTAGGATGTTTACTTAAAGTTAACATCTCTTTACCTTTCTATGATATATTTTATTTTATTCACTACACCCTTCTTTATGATTCTACTACAATTATTAACTGGGTTAATAAATCACCCAAGAGTGTATCTTGGAATATTCTTGGTATTAAGAATATTAAAGATTTCCCTTTTACAGAACTTAGATATATTAAAAATATAAATATATTAGAAAGATTAAGATCTAATATTATTAATTATAGATTTATAGATTATATTTATAAACATTCTAAACAAATGAATAATCTTATTAGTAAATCACACACACAGGATACAAAAGAATATACAATATTAATCTGTGATTATATTATTAAGAAGGATTATTTAATGTACATTAAATTAATTAAAAATCTAATAATAATTGATAAACAGTCATTTAATAGACACTTTATTAATAATATAAAAGTAGTAGATAAAACAGTAATAGATATTTTTAGAGTTAATTATAAATTAATAAAAATATGTAATATACATATTTTATTAGAAATAATGTATAATAGCAATGTAGTAAGACTTTTAGAAGATTATAAAATATTTAAGTATTTTATTAAAAGACTTGGAATATATAATATGAAGTATATAAGTAAATATATTACAGATATTAAAAAGATAATATATATTTATAAATATTATGATATTATATATACACTATTTTTTGATAGAATATTGAAGATTATTGAAGGATTTATAAATGAAATGTATTTAATAAATAAAGGATATGGTGATAAAGATAAAGGATATAGTTATAAAGGTAAAGGATATAGTGATAAATTAATGAATAAATTTAGGGATAAATGTAAAGATAAAGTAGATAGACATAAAACAGATAATAATAAATTAATAGATAATAGTAAATTAATAGATAATAGTAAATCAATAGAAAATAATAATAAATCAATAGAAAATAATAATATAGATAATAGTAAATCAATAGAAAATAATAATATAGATAATAGTAAATTAATAGAAAATAATAAATTAAGTAATACAATGGATAATTCATACACTGAAATGCATTCAATTATACGCATAGAAAATACTTCTAAATGTTTAATTAAGAAATATAAATTAATCTTAAAGTTACTTTTTGTATCTAACACTACAAATATTCCTAAGAAATACATTTATAGATTATACTTTTTAAATAAGAAGATATTTACTAGATATTTTAATAAATATATAAAATACAATACTTTATACATTAAGATATGTAAATTATTACCTATACTTAAAGTACAAAGTATAAATAATATTCCTAAGGATTATTGGGGTAGTGCAGTAAAATACAATATTATAAAAAATTATAAAACACTCCCTGATGGATTATACTTTAATAAGTCATATATACAATTTATTAATGAAACATCTTCTTTTACTTTAAATGTATCTTTTACACAGTACATTAATAAAGGACATCAAGTGTTAGTACAATTGTGTAATAAAGATAAGACATTTACAGTGGGAGTAAAGGATGGAATAATGTACACAGAAATAAAGAATATAAATACAAGAATATATAAAAATATAAATATTAATAATAATATTTACTACATAGAATTATCTTTTTATAAGAAAGAATTATGTATGTATCTTGAAGGTAAGAAATACACTTACACGTTATTTCCAGTACATGAAATTATTATTGGTCGTAATTTTATGGGAATATTAACAAAAATGTTATATTTTGAAAGTACAAAATATAAAAAATCTAGAATTATGCATTTAGAAGGATCAGACATTTTTATAAAAGTTATTAAAAATTTAGAAATGTGGTGTGTAAGTAAAGGAATTAGTGGGATATTCTTAAAAAGTAAAAAAGTTTATTGGTGGCATAAAAATAAGAAAGTAGAGTTTTATAATATAATCGATATTAAGTAAATAAAATATTTAGTATAAATTAAATATCATTTATATTAAATAAATTGATTAATTACTTAATTTGTTAAAATGTAAAATTAGCTTTATATTTTACAAAAGAGGAAATTATAAACATTTAGTATTTATATTTTACAAATATTGAGTTTCTATATTTGGAGATCATAAAAATATACCAATAACTTAAATTATTGATTAATAAAAGTATAAAAAGAAATTTTAATAGTACTTTATGAAGTTACAAAATTTTACTATTTTATTAACATTAGCTTTATTTACTGGAAAAGCGTGTTGTGGGCCTTTATTTGGATTTAATGATTCGAAAAAACGTAGTGAAGATAATCCGGCACAAATTTCAGAAGGAACTGGAAAGGCTGAGGGACAACAAAAAACAGAAGAAGAATCTGCAAATCCGGAGAAGGAATCTGCAAACCCGGAGAAGGAATCTGCAAACCCGGAGAAGGAATCCGAAAAGACTAAGGAACAAACACCAGGAAGCGAAGGATCCGAAAAGACTGAGGAACAAACACCAGGAAGCGAAGGATCCGAAAAGACCGAGGAACAAACAGCAGGAAGCGAAGGAACTGTGGGTAAAAAAAAATAAAGTGTTTTATTAAATCAAATGTGTTATAGTTTAAATTTGTTGGTGATATTTTTAAAATTATTTTTTTAAAAAAAATTTAATCAAAAATTTTTAATTATTTATTTGAATAATTAAACTTCGGAACTTTTTTTAAAAATTAATAATTTATTTAACAACAACCACAGAAGAGATATTAGAAGTCCGCTAATTTTGAAAATTATGAATATACTAAAGTATAAATTTTTTAAATATTTGCAAAGAAGTCGAGCTTTGGGGTTCTTGTTGTACACTTAACTTGGTTTTAGACATACATTTCATGTTTTGACTATAAATATTTGATTCGAAAAATTAAGGAATGATTTAATTTAGCATATTTTTATAACAATTTTATATTAAATAAGCGCTTCGTTTATTATAAATAATTCTTTATTAAGTTTTTATTTGTCTTAAAAAATTTTCATTATTATTTCTTTGTTCTATTTACTACAATATAAGAAAACAGCTGCGTGTTTTTCTTATGTTGCTAAATACCATACAGTTAACATATTCGGCAACTATAAAATTTTCTTTTGTAAAACATAATTTAATTTATTTAAAGTCAATTGCATATTCTTCTCCATCAGTCTCTCCTATCATAGCCAAACTAGCTAATTGTTTTGATGGGTTGACTTTTGTCTTCTGTGAACAATTTTCGCACGAAAATTAAATATGGAAAATATAAAAAAAAGACAGCGCAAATTTTCAAACACTGGGTCATAGTTTAATACCATTAATAACTACCAAACATTTTTTTTAATTAATCTCATTAAAATATCACAACTGCAAATTTGTCTTTTTTAATTAATCACAAAGCAGTAAGTTCTTTAAATATTTTAAACTGCTCTACATCATAAATTGTATAAATTTCCTTGAAAATCCTAATTTTCAAAATTTCTGTTTCTTTGTAAAAATTGAAAGAAAATAATGTGTTTGCTTCTTGTCATAACATTTTTACAATTCTTTATTTCATTACTTATTTTGTAAATTATAGGTTAAATAATTATTTTTTTATAAATACAACACTACAAATGTTAAATTACATCCATGCTATTAAAAAATTTCTAATAAATTATAAAACTTGTAAATATTAGTAATGTCACTTACTAGTTACAAACATTTTTATTTTATTATTTTGTGTATCTCTAAAGTCTATTTACTAATATTAAGGTGTGAACAAGAACTAATTACATTTTTACTTGTTAAAATATTGTAATAAAAATTTAAAAAAATGAAATTTAAAAAATAAATTATAAATCTAATATTTGTTATTTAATTTCTGTCATTTTATACAAGCCATTAATTTAGTACATGTCAATTATTTTAACTCATTGAAATTAAGAAGAAGAATTTTTTAATAATAAATAATTAACTTGAAATATTTTCAATGACTGTAAATACTACAATAAATTTGTTATTATTAATAATCTATTATTTATTTTTTACTATTAATTTTTACCATAATATGTGCAATTAATTTTACCACTTATTTGTTACCTATTTTTATCTTCTACAAATAGTTTTTATTTTTCATTATAAAGCAATCAGTTATTAAACAACGTAATAAAAACTTGATTAAATAATATTACATACATTATTTAATACTAAAACATTACAATTTATTTTAGTACTACTGTAATTCATTAAATGTTTGAAAATCATCACCAAATAACCAATTAAAAATTTTATCATTTATTAAAAATATTTAAAGAAAATTTTTTCATTTTTTATGAATTTCCAGAATCTAGTACTTCTTATTTCTTTAGCTGTGTTTGCAAGAGCATGTGGATCAACATCAGCAGGAGAGAATGATAATACAGGTAACACTGGCGGTACAGCACCCACCTCCAACAGTACTACAAATTCTGACGATGATAAAAACAAAACTGAAGAAGATAAGAAAGATGATGCGAAATCTAAAGAATAAATTTGTTTATATGTAAATATTTTTATTGTTTATAATATTATATATTTTTATTATATATTTATTGTTTTTATATATTAATTTTTAAAAAATCATTGTTTATAATATTAAATGTCGTTTAAATATGCATTGTTTATAATATTAAATATTTATATATATTATTTTTTTTAATATATTCATTGTTTATATTAAATTTATCGCTTGTATTCATTGTTTATATTAAATTTATCGCTTGTATTCATTATTTAAATATTAAATTTATCGCTTGTATTCAAAAAAACGGTCGACAAAATGGCAACGCGATGTGAAAAATATAAGGACATGCTTTATGAGACGAGATAATAAAATGATTAAATTTTAAATTTATTATAATACAAGAGATATAAAATCGAGCAGACAGGAAAAAAATTAAGAATTTTTCGATTTAACAAAGTGTAACAAATAAATAACTAGAGATAAAAGTTATTCTTTCAACTAAATATTAAAATTATATAATAAGATTATCATTGTAATAAAGACAGAAAAATAAAACAAAATGTGTTTTGTTATCAAAAGAGCTACTTTTAGAAAACATGAGTGTTTAAAAATGTAATATACCAGTCAAACATCTTTTCATATACCAACACCGAAATATTTGCCATGTTTTTTAATTTCCAAAAAGTGTCACACCTCTTAATAACCAAGGAGAAGTGGTATTAAAAATTTACGAAGATACTATCTGCTTGTTGTGTTGGAATAAAACACGAAAATATATAAATTTTAACATAAAATAGTGTAGTGACAAAATTAAGAAAGGATCTGGAAATATTAAACATAATTAAATCGTACATTCAATCAGTGGCTTTTTATTAAATTTATAAAAACGTTTTGCTAGATCACAGAAAGAGAAATTTTATTATTAAAAATGAGAAGAACAAAGATTGACATACAGGATAGAATCGTTCAGTAAAAAAGCAAAGAATCAATATATGTAAGAAATCTAACCTACAAATAATAATATTTTTTGTATTAAAATAGCTCAATATAACAATAAAGTACATTTAATAAAAATAAATTAAAAATATCTTCATTTTTAATAAACTGTCAAATGTTTTAATTTAATGGTCATTTATTTTTTAATAAATCATATACCTTTTCTTTTTAATATTTCTAATACATCATTGTACACCTCATCCTTTGTCTTATTTCCATTAACTGTCACCAGTAAATTTCTTTCTTTATAAAATTCTATTAGTGGTTCAGTACACATGTGATATACTTTAAGTCTTCTTCTAATTACTTCTACGTCTCTATCATCTTCTCTTTGATCTTCTCTATTCTGTATTCTTCTAATACATTCTTTTTCACTTGTATTAATTAATAAAACAAGTGATATATTAATATTCTTATCTTTACATTTTTCAAGATATTCAGCCTGTACTAATGTACGAGGAAATCCATCTAAAATACAGGAATTGTTAAGTAATTCTTCTTCAATTAACTGCGTAATACATTCATCGGATACAAAATTACCATTTTTTAGTATTTCTTGTACATTTTTATCCCCAGTATTCCTTAGAAGGTCTCCTGTACTAACATGTTTAAAATTAAAATCCTTGGCAAGTTTTTTACTAATAGTGCCTTTTCCACATCCTGGTGGTCCTACAATAATAAGATGGGACATGTAAACAAAAAGGGATGTTAAATTTTTAAATATTTTTTTTACAGGGGTCAAAATGAAAACACCAAAGAAACGAGTAACGTTAAAGACTCCTAAAAGGAGTACTAAGAGCACATTTAAATCTACTGGACACACAAAAGGGGTAAAAGATGAATCAGATTCCGTTACTAAAAAAAAAGACAGCCCTTCTAAATTTATTGCTGATTTGGATATAGAAATAAAAAATACAGAGAATGAGTTAATAACAAGTTTACAGAAGGAAAATGAGTTACTTAGAAGTACTAACCTGTATGTAAAATTTTTAGGATTAGATATTACACAGGTGGGTGATAAATATGTGGTAAAATACAACGTAAACAAAGATAATAGATTTTTACATTTCGAACTGGTGCCTGAGGATGATATGTACGTTTATTCGTTGGTGCGATCAGAGAACATCGATGAGTTGGGTGTTCTTGGGGATGAGATCAGTTTTGAAAAAGAACAGATTGCAAAGTTCTTTTATAAAGTGATGGAGATTATGATTTCTGATTAAAATGTATTAATAAAAGCTATTTAATTATTATAACTGTGTGCTAGTTATACAGTTATATTGAAAAATTTAATAAATTTTTATTAAAAATTATTGTATCTGATTAAAAGTTATTATCTTAATGGCGTAATTAACACGTTATAAAAATTTAAATGTAAATGTTTAGAATAAATTTAATGAAGTTTATAAAAACACTATGTAATTTTTAGTCTATGTAATTATACATTTAATCTTTTTTTAATAACTTTAAAATGTTTGCTTGGCTTTTTAAATTAATTAATATAACTTAAAATTAGTATATGATTATCTTTTTCATTTACAAAATTAGGATTTTTTAAGGAATTGTCAGATTTTAAAAAGCCAGTTCACCTAACCTATTTATTAGGCAAATGTCTCGTTTTATTCTATAGTTCTATAAAAGGTTTTAATTATTTATAAAAGATATAACAACTCAACGCTACTAACTTTTAATACAGAGGTGTAACAATACATTGGAAGGGGGTTTTATTTATTCTGCGTTAAAAATAATGTAAAAATGCTTATATAATTTTTAAATATAACTGCTGTGCTACTTGTCCGTAAATATAACAAATGTAATAGGAAAATAAACTTTATAGTAAAAATTTAATAGAAATAAATCTGAACATTGTCTAATAGATACAATGTGTCTATTTATTTAATGTACTGCTGTAATTAGTTGTCCTGATTAGTGTATTTACTAAGTTTAATAAACCAGTACTCTCTACTATCTGAATCGTCAAAACCAAAAAGAAAATTTTCTTCATCACCCATCAGTGCAAGTCTAAAAGGATGATTCTGTCCGCCCATAAACACTTCATGCACCCTATTAATCTTTTTTAGATCCCAATTTCCTTTACTTTTTTTTGTCCCATTAGCTTTATGATATTTTAATATACCTTCTTTAGTCAGTAAAAAGTATTTTTCATGCCAAAAACATGCAAATATTTTTCTCCTTTTCCACATGTGGCCTTCTGCTTCTACATTATCGTCTTCTCTTTCTTTCAAAATTTCACTATCTTGGTCTAAAGCGTGAGTTGGTATTTTTTGTGGCGTAAAAGACGGACTTCTGGTTTTTATATTATTTTTCTCATCTTGGGTCAGTGATATGTCTCTGTTGGCATCGGCAGATACTGTATGTTCTTCATTCTGGTCTTCGTCTATAACGACATTTTTTTCTTCTGTACCTTTACCCAACATAATTGCAGCAGCACCGACAGATGTTCCTGCTGCTATCTCTGCATTTCTCATACTAAGTGTTTTCTTCTCTGTTGGTGAAGAAATGTTTTTACTGGTATTTGGTTCGTTCTTGTTTTCTTCGTTATTCTTCTCATCTATATTTTCTTCTTTATTTTCATTTTCTTCACTTTTTTCTTCTTTATTTTCATTTTCTTCTTCATTCTTCTCATTTTCATTTTCTTCTTCATTCTTCTCAACTACATTTTCTTCTTTATTCTTCTCACCTACATTTTCTTTATTTGACATTTCATGTAAATTGGCTGTCTCTGGTGATTTACCTTCTGTATGAACATTTATAACTCCTTCTTCTCCTTCTTTTACTTTAGAAATTTCATTTATCTTTGATACTTCAGTAACTGAATGTTCACTTAAAGCACTTTTTTCTTGATCTTTTGGCAACATTATTCCGCTTTCTTTATTTACTTTTTCAGTTGGATCAATTAGTGTAGAAGCACTATCTTCATTTTTTATTAACTCTTTTGTGCGCCCTTTTTTATCTATTATCATTATACTTTTTTTCCGTTTGTTAAAACTTTTGTTTTCTTCCATATGGGTGATTAAATAGATTCTTTTATAATCCTACCTCCTTTTAATTTAACCAATGGGGTTAAATAATAAAAAAGGAAACTTTAATTAAAAATTTTTTAAATAGATTAATGTTACGATTTAATTATTATATACATTGTTTAATTTCTTAATATATATAAAATTACTTTTTTGATATCGTTAATTAATGTTTAATTTCTTTTTTTAGAAATTTCAAAGTCTTTAAATTTTTAACTTAAAAAAGAGTTAATAATTTAAAAAAGATTTAATAACAAAGTTTGAAAATCTAAAAAATAGTATTAACAAAATTTGAAAATCTTAAAAAAGAGTTAATAACAAAGTTTGAAAATCTAAAAAAGATTTAATAACAAAGTTTGAAAATCTATAAAAAGATTTAATAACAAAGTTTGAAAATCTAAAAAATAGTATTAACAAAATTTAATTGTGTCAATAAACATCTTTTGTTTACTTTTCTTTTAGTTTATTTTTAAAACCCCTTCAATGACTTTATTAGATTTTTTAGCTTTTAGAAAGACACCTGATACAGTTTATAAGTTTAAAATATGTGTAACAAATGTATTATCTTTGCAGAATATAAACCACAATTTAAATACAATATACGAGTACATTTCATACGAGCAGGGCAAGTCATTGTCTGTATGCACCCAGTATTTTATAGATAACGAATTGGCTTCGTCCTTCTCTTTAATAAAAGATCCTTGTATAGAAAACTTTTTTATTAAATTGATCGGAACACTAAACAAAGAGAATCTAAAAAAGCTTGTTGTAGTGAATATTCTTACTAGTAAGGTATGTCCAATATACTCAGAGAGACTTGTTGCATATAACATGGAGGTAGATACATTTTATATTAAATTTTTAACTGATAATTTCTGTAAAGATAAAATGTATAGATACGCTACTCTTCTTCTTTTTAATCTTCCTGTGTTCAGTAAGTTTTATAAAGCACGATTACCCTATAAAATAATCCAATACATTAATACAAGTGAGGATGTAGAAGCATTTGGGATGTATATGATGTTTATACTTAAAGAACAAACGAATAGGAGAGTGTATTCACTAGAATACAATAATAACATAGTACAAAACATTAATACAGTAACAAATGCTGCAAGTTTTTACAATCTGGACAGTAACATTTCATACGTTAATTTTGAAGACATAAAATCTGTCCGTAAACATGAAGATTATAAAGATTTGGACTTTAGAAATAAGAAAGTCACATATTACAGAGCGATATTGTCACTTAATGCGATTGATGAGATTACAGAGACAATTGTACATGAATTTACTGAAATATTTACCAACACACATGAAAATATAGATTTTTTAAAATTTTTAATTAAAACGTATCCTTTTGTTATAGGAAAATATATGGGTACATATAAGCATCACACGAATGACTGGAGTGTAAAAGAAGTATATAACACCCTCATATCAAAAACTAAAGAATCTAAAACTTCTAATCGATATACACCGATGAAAATTACTGGTAATTTTTTACAGAAAATAATAGATCTAGAAGTTAAAGACGAGGAAATATATTTTTTTGTCTTTTTTGTAAACAGGAAGGAACTTTTTACTAATTTTAAAAATATTGAACGGCTTATGGATGATAATTTATATTTTCATGGTACAATAATTAATTTGTTACTTAACAAATAGGATTTGAATATTTATTTTATTGTGTGTTTTTTGGTGTTAAGGCATTAATGTTTATTGAATTTTTTTAACCTTTTTAAATTTTTGGTTTCGCTTTTGTAAAATTCGAATTTAAAAGAAAAACTAAAAACCTTTCAATTATTTTATACCCTTTATGAACATTGATTTTCTTTCAACACCATCGTACAAGTGTATCAAAATCTTTATTAATGATATTGTATCTTCAATACAAAAAGATAAGCAAATTGAAAATAATAATATAATTAATATTTTAGAAAATATTTATAATATTATTCATAGTGTACCGCTATCAAATGAAAAAGGAAGATATGCTAATCCCAATTCTAAGGATGTATTTAATAAAATCTTAGAGGTTGATGTTACTTCCTTTTTTGATTTCAATATAAATAGTACATTGGATATTAATAATCTGTTAGAATTAAATAAATATTTACATAGCTCATTTGGTAACAGTAAAAGATTAGACTACGGAACAGGACATGAACTTAATTTTTTATGTTTTTGTTATGTTGCTTATAAATCTAATATTTTAAGTATCAATGAAATATACTTAGTATTCAAACAATACTGGAGAATATCAAAATATTTTATAAATAAGTTTAATTTGGAACCTGCCGGGTCTAAAGGATCTTGGTCGTTGGATGATTATCAATTATTACCTTTTGTATTCGGTGTTGCAGAAAATGGAGACTTTTTTCATAATTTACGTCTAATTAATAAAAGTGTAGTGCTTTTACAGTTACGGAATATTGATGACTATATTAAAATGTATGATAGAGAAGTATTAAGAAGACATGTAGTTACTAAAAGCTTTATATACGGAAAATATCTAATACAATAATAATTAATAAAATCAATATAAATAACTTTATATTAATAATTTTTTATTAAAACTCGGCATCGAGCGAAAATGTGTCATTGCCATTTTCAATTCCTACAAAGGCTTTTTGATATTGTGACTCTCTTTTATCAAAGAAATTGGTTTTCCCTACTAAACTTATATTTTCCATAAAATCGAAGGGATTCAGTGTATTGTAATATTTCTCAAGTCCTAAATTAATTAATAATCTATCAGCTACAAATTCAATATATTGACACATAAGCTTACAATTCATCCCAATAAGATTTACCGGTAAACTGACACTTAGAAATTCTTTCTCTATTTCTACCGCTTCTTTCACTATATCAAGAATGTGTGGCGATTTATTAATTAAATATTGATTTAGCAAACAAGCGAAGTCACAATGCAACCCTTCATCCCTAGAAATTAATTCATTAGAGAAAGTAAGACCAGGCATAAGACCTCTGTTCTTTAGCCAGAAGATTGACGCAAATGCGCCGGAAAAAAATATTCCTTCTACGCACGCAAAAGCAATGACGCGTGTCGCGAATGATGATTTTTCATCTTTAATCCATTTAAGTGCCCAGTCAGCTTTCTTTTTTATACATGGAATAGTACTTATCGCATTAAAGAGATGTGTTTTTTCATCTTGATCTGTAATATAAGCATCTATTAATAATGAATACATCTCACTATGAATATTTTCTATGGCTACTTGAAATCCATAAAAGCACTTTGCTTCTAATATTGTCACTTCATTAGCGAATCTCTCAACTAAATTGGCGTTAACAATACCATCTGACGCGGCAAAAAATGCTAAAATATTTGAAATAAAGTATCTTTCTTTATCATTTAATGATAACCAATCATTTCTGTCGGCAGTTAGATCAACTTCTTCTACCGTCCAGAATGATGACTCGGCTTTTTTATACATCTGCCATATGTCATGATATTTAATAGGAAATAAAACATACCTTTCTTCATTTGGATTTAATAAAGGCTCAATTTGATTGTCCTTTGTCATTATGGGGGTATGAAAAATTTTATATAAAAGTTTTATAATTGATTTTTTTGTAATGTTAGTTTTTTTATTTGAAGATATGATTAAATTTTCATATTTTTGTAATTTTTTATTTTCCCGCCAAAATGATTTTTAGAAAATATTGTAACAAGAAAATATTTTAACTTGGCCCTAGATAAGAAAAGGAAAAAAGAATATATTAAATTAATTACATAACACCTCGGCAGAATATTAATAGTTATTTATTATCCGTTTTTACAAAATGATTATATTTTATCCAAAATAAACTTTACATAGGGAAGAGAACTATCTATTTTAAGTAATTGTAGCTGTATGTACTTAATAACTAGATTTGTAAAATATTTATTGATAAAAATAAAAAGATAAAGATTGTGTGACATGCTAGTGTTTTGTATAAATAACCTTTAATAAGATGCTATAAGAAATATATTACTTGTGTAATTTAGAGTAAATAATATTTAAAAAAGACTTTACTGGTGTTTCTTATATTTATGATTAAAAAATTTAATTTAATGGTTGATAAATTAATATACTTAATTTAATATATGATTTATCTTTTTAATAAATGCAATAGATATTTATTGGTCTCTATAAATGTTTAAAATAAAATAAATTGAAACTACTAATTAAAACAAAGGTAAAAAACAAATGGTTTAAACGTATTTAAAAGGATATGATAAACTTTATGACTAAAGGAAGAAGACAAAAATTTTTATATATTTGTTAAATAAAAATTTAGGTGCTATATAACTGATAATGTATTAGATTAAATATAAATCTTTATTTTATATTTTTTTGTGTTTAAAATACATTCCTTTTTTTGATATAATTTAATTTTAATCATTTACTCTTCCTACGCTGCCCAGATTACTTTTTAAACGAGTTCATTATCTTCTGTTATCTCATTTCGCTGTCGTGTTAGCATTAAGAAAAGACACTAGTTATTTTCATGCTTTCTGAAGCATTCTTAAGATTTTTGTATGTTTTTGTTTGTAATAATATTATGTACAACCCTTTAAAGATTTTAAATATATCTTATATTAAAGATTTTTTTACAAATTTTTAAGTAAAAAATTATTATATTACTTAAATATACATTTGTAGAATAAAACAGAACTTTAAGTGATGAACAGTAATTTTATTTATTATACATTGTTTTCTATGAGAGCGTTAATTTGTACAACTTCCGTTGTTAAGATATTTATTTTAAAAATGTGGTTGTAAATGTAAAATTATCTTCCTTTGTAATTTTTTTTTAAAACATTGGTATTAAATAAAAAAATAATTGAAAACAAAGCAATCTAGTAGAATATTAAAGACTTATAACAAAGTTTCATACAAAATGCGCCATCAATTTGATTTTTAAAAAGATATCACTTATTCTAAGTCCAATCTGCAGTAGAAACATTTTTTATGGTTACAAACACATTATATGTCAAAAAGTTTAAGTTCTGAGTAATGATTATCTTTTGTATTGTTTTAAACTTTAAACGGCACTGATAAAGATATCAAAGTTAATTTATACATATATTATAAATAAATAATTACTAAACATATTTCTTTTTTGTAATAATGTATTAGATTTCAAATCTTGACAACTGAAGCTAAAATTTAAAAAATAAAATTTATTTGTTCCTTTTACCTTAAAATTATCATTAAAAATTTTTAATTGATTAAAAACCTGACATTTATTGGTATTCTAAATGTAACGCAAAAACGTTTCACATTAAGTATAAATTCTTTAAAAATTTTTTATATATGATCAATTTAGTACTACTAGTCCTATTAGCTGTAAGAACAGAGTATATAAAACATTATTCAGCAGATTTATACATGTGCGATATCTCAGAATCAGAAGTTATAAATAGAAAAATAACATCCTGTGCGAAAGACATGGCAACATTTTTTGAATTTCAAAAAAATACAGACGATACAGAAATAATTAGGTCACCGAGAGACAACAATGTATGGGATGTTGGTGCAGCAAACTATGTAAAAATCTTTACGTTTCATGGCGGATCCAATCAGAGATTTAAATTTGAAAATGTTGGTCAAAATAAGTATAGGCTGCTACTTAACGGAAAATGTATTGAATACAATCCTCTAAGTGATCAGTATGATTTAAATACGTGCAGTGTGGACAATAATCAGTTGTTTAGTATATTTGAGACTATACAAGAAGATCCTATTCATAACACTTCTCTACTTGAGGATTCGTCGACAGGAAAACATGATCATATCAACACACCATTTGACAGGGAAAAGAAACTGTATAATTTTGCTAGCAAACGCCACGCAGGACGTCATCATTCTCATGAGCACTCTGGGGGTCACCACAGAGGTACACACCATCATGGCCACCATCGAATACCTAAACAAACCATTTCTGGTGAATTTTAATTAAATATTCATTTAAAATATTTAAAAACCTACTTTTTAAGCAATTTATAGTACAACAACTCATACTGACACAATATATTATATTAAAAATCGGTCATATAATAAAAATTGTCATTTGTAGTAAATTAATAAACTAAAAAGTGGCTTTATTACAAAAAATGTTAGATTTCATTTTGAATACAGATTATTTTGTAACTAGACAAGCATTTTTGTACAAAAGAAAAATGTAAAATAAATTATTATACATTTTTTAATAATACGCTATTTTTAAACTTTACAAATCCAAGAAAGGTCTATGTTTTTATTAAACGACAAAAATTTTTTTATATTAACAAATAACATTTAACCATTTAATTCGATACAAAATAAATGATTTCAACAACAGACTTTAATTTATATTTTTAAAAAAATTTACAATATACGCTGATGATTTATCAAAACAATATTGTTAACATTTAAAGGTGGATTTTTGTTTGTCATATATATTTTGAAGAAAATCAATTTTAGAATAAAAAGAAATAACATTCTTAAGATTTAAAATATTAAAATAAAACCTATATTTATCAATTGTTTCACAAATTGTAGAAGACAAGCTAGTTTGTGCCCTGATTTACGTATTTTAAAACAACTGTCATGAATATACCATTTAAAATAAATTGATAAAAAATTGTTAAACAATAGGTTAACAACAACCAGATATAGTCTATAAAAATCTGTAAAAGCATTTTTTAAGCCTTTAAACAATATACAAATCACATAAATTTAAACCAATTACAAAAACAAGCATATTTTGAAGTGTTAAAGATTTTTTTTGATTTTTTTAGTTTCTTAAAATTATAATAGCCCCAAAATTTGAACAACTATTGCAACTTAGATATAAGGAAAAATGTGAAGATGTTGATTTTTAAAAGGTGGAATCTTTTGTGTAAAATTATGAAGTGTGTTTCCTGTAACATTTTTATGAAAGAACGAACTACTTAGAGGCAACTCTATAGATGAAATGGTTTGTATATGTAAAAAAATGCAACGTGCATCAAATTTAAAATCTCGTAAGCATTAAGAAATTTTCTGTTAATTTTGGGAGATATTTGGACAGTCGTACTATTGTGATTAGAGAATAAAGATGTTTGTCAAATTAAACACATTTTTGGGATCAGCAAATCTACTTTAAATAAAAGTCTTAGGGCGTTTCAGGATGTTGTGGTGAGAAATTTGCACCAAGGTTCTATCAGATTAGGTGTACAGGACGTAATTTGTCAAATAAATGAATCTTTATTTTTCCAGAAACAGAAAAATAATGTTGGTAGGTGTGGTATCCAAACACATAAATTTTTATATTTTCCTTTTTATATTATTTTTTTATTAATGAATTTTTTAGAATTTTATTTTCTATAAATAAAAATTCTTAAAAAAGGTAATGGAAAAATGAAGAAGCACGAAAGACAGTATTGAGAGCTTCCACAAAAATGTATACAACAATTAATAAAAAAGTTGGTTTTAAAGATTACAACTTCATTTGCTTCCTCTTGGAGAAATACTTCCGTTTTGGCCACCTTATCCAAAGTTACCACAGTGTAAGATTTTTGATACACAAATGTGGGCTTTAGAGATAGTAGATACAAATTTTTGCCCAGCAAAGAGATATATAAAAATAGCTTCAAATAGATCGGCTGATAACTTTTTATCAATAATAGAGCGTGTTTGTAAGCTATGCACAGAAAGTTGTAGTGGTGAATGGGTGCCTACAGAATCCTAAATATTAAAACAGGATTAGAGCATAGAGCAGTTAACTGCACCACAAACTTTGTTAATCCTATTGCGCGAACGCAAAGCAGCGGCACATTGAACCATATTTGGCAAGGCAACAGTATAAAATAAAAAAAAAGACAAACTTAAAAATTTGCTGTTAGAATTTATGTGGAAAGATTAGTATCTCGAAAGAGTGTGTCAATAGATGAATCATCACTGACCATTAGAATCCCTCAATCTGAATGATCTGCCAATCTGTAAAACGCTTGAAAGAATAAGTTAAATAAAATCGAACAAACGATAAGGATTTCAGGCCACCTAAATAGTGCCGAAATCAATTGATAAAAATATTAATTTTATTTGAAAGCTCTCAAAAGTAAATTAAAAAACCATTTAAGAAAAATGTCCTTAAAAGGGGTATCATAAGTTTAGAGAAACAGAAGTCATTAAGTAAATCATTTCTTTCAACACCTTCTCCCCCTTCAGATCGGTCAAACGACCTGATCACAGGGTGTTAATTCACTTAATTTTCTCTTAAAAATTTCCTAAAAAATCTTATTCTTTTATTATTGTGTTTTTTTGTTCTTTTTTTAAAATGCTTTATTTTTATGGGGTCATATAATTCAAACTATTTGACAATTTTTTTTTGATTAGATTAATTGTAAAATATAAAGGATTAAAAATTATTAAAGTTATAGTTTGAAATTTAATAATTAAAGATTTTAATAAATTAAAATTTTGTCCTTTTTGAAATCCTAGTTAACTTTTTAAATACTTTTTGAAAAGTTTAAAACTGGAAAAAGAATTGAAATTAAATAAAACGTAATTTGCGATTACTCGAAAATATTTATATTTTTACAAAAAGCCCTTTTTAAAAAATAAAATTTAAATACAATTTTTTTTCTTTCCAAGTTAATTTGTTTTTTTCGATTTAAAATTCGTCTTTATAACCTAATTTAAATGAAGTTAAAAGTAATGATTTTCAATCATAAAAATATAAAGTAGAACTAGAAATCAATAAATTTAATTGTTTAGTTATTCTCTTTCAACATAATTTTCTTCTACAAAATAATCAAACCAAGAATTCTCTGGATCGAGTTCTGTTAATTTATCGGTAATAAAATTTCTAACTTCAGACAGGTAAGTGCAACTGCTAGTATGGTCTTCATTTAATTCCTTCTTAGAATTGCTTAAAGATGTATTATCTGCTGCCTTTATGGCAGAAACAAATGTATTTTCCGAATTTTCATTAGTTTTAATATTTTGACAATTATCCGGACCAGAAAACGATCTACTACCATCAACATCTAAAGAATCTTTCGATACACGTCGTGTTTCCTTCTTTAGTTTATCGTCCGTGACAACCGCTTTTGATGCATCTTTTGCATTGCTTTGTTTAAGTTCATCTGTGTCGTTTTGAGTTCGATTAATATATTTATCTTTACCTTTAAACGCATTTCGGTTAGTCTTAGATAGATTACCAGATTCCCTGCTACATGTACATGAATTCTGTTTTGTCTTCAATTTTTTATGGTCACCACTTATTAGCTCTTTAGTTAATTCTCCCAGAACAAAAAAAAGTTCGCAACTTTCATGGTGTTCTTTTTTCTTAAATTCTTCATGGTCCCGAATAATTAATTCTTGCTTCTTAATAATTGCTTCCTTTCCCTGTAATTGTCGAAACAAACATTCGTTTTGATCCTTATTAAACATACCAGCATATTCATTTGTTATTGAGTTAACACTGTACCAACAACTTCCTGTTGATTGTTTATTAACATATTCGTTAGTACATATAACTTGGGTTAAAAGTATCAAAAAGCATAACATTGCTGGGGACATCTATAATTTTTTTATATAAAATAAATTAATTTTTTAAAAATTGTACAATCAACAAAAAATAAAATTGTTAAATAAAAAACATTAAATTATTGAATTAAACATTTTTTCAAATTATTTTCTGATTTAATTTGCAACAATTTCCTATAAATTTAATTTTAACCGTATTTATACAAGAAGCAAAAATGAAATTTTTACTTTAATTTAAAAATTTGTTTTAAAAGAATTTTTGCAAAAATTTTAAAAAGAAAATGTTTTTAAATTTCAAAAACGTAAACGGAAATTTTATATTTTAATTAAAAAACAAAATACTTGCTCTTTATAGTAAATGACAGATTTTATTTGAAGTTAATCATGCTTTAAGTACTTAAGTAACATATATAATTTTTATTTCTTATAATTATACAAAAGACTGTTTTGTGGGACATTAAAGGTGTATACACGCAAATCAGCAGTATTAGGCTGATGGCTTTGACATGCCCGTTGTATAAATAATAATTATTAAATTACTTAATGATTTAAATATAAAGTATTATTACTGTTATTAACTTTATATTTTTTATAATTGCTTTGATTTGTAAATATTAAATAAAAGATTATGATGTTATATTTATTCTAACAACATTAATTGTTAATAAAAAATTAATCAGCAGAAAATGTGTCATAGATCAAAAACAAAAGTGTAGATAGATATTGAATAGTTTTTGATGTGTATTATACCATATTAATGTGTAGTGATTTGACACTAACAGAACATGTTAGAATAATGAATGAAATCACAATATGGATCCAATCTATAAGTATTTATAGTGAACTGATTTATTTGATTATTTACTTAAGTACGAAATACTATTTAAAATTATTGCACATTATTTGAAAGGCCTCGTGTATATTTTTAAAAATTTTATAAAATGCCTCATGGTTTTCTTATTCTTTTCAGTTAGTATTCTAATTTTCTTAAACTTTACCTTGTTTACTCACACGAATGTCTTTTTGAAGAAGCTGAGAAATATAGGTAATATCGCACATTTTGCATATAAAACCACCATGTATTATTCGCACGGCGTGATCTCCATCAATTATAACTCCAATAAGCCTTTACAAATTTAAAAATTATGGTTTCAATTAAAATATTTAATATATTCGGATTTTAGAATCACAATAAATAAAATCACAAATGAGTTTTCAAAAGTACCGTACCTCGCAGGTATTGTGTATTTGTTTAAGAATGAAGGGTAGACTGACTTATTGTTATTTAAAGGTTTCATAGAAAATGTATGTTTGTAAAAAAATTTCCTATACTACTTTTAAGTTAATAAAAAGAGGTCTATTGGTTATTGAAAAGACCAAAAAAAATTGAGGTGAGTCCATGGCATAAAGTTCATCCTATAAATTATTCTAACACACTAATGATAGGTGTGTTATTATTAGCCCGGTCTTTATGGGCTGAGAACCGTTTCTAGGTCCTGTGGTTAAAATAATTTAAATGATTTATACCGAATATGTTTTTTATAATTTCTTTTTTAAATAATTTACTTTTAAAAGCCACCAATTATATTTTAAAATGCTTAGTTCAGTGTTACAGATTGCTGACATTCACTTTATGAACCAATTATAAATTTAATTTGTTCATGGTCTTTCGACCATCATGTGGTATTATACCACAAAACTAATCATGATTAAAACAATCGTCCTATTGCATTTAATTGGTTGGCGGCTGCAGAAAATGATAACAAGAAATAAAAAAAGTTTACATTACCTATCTCCCTTGTAACTGCAAAAAGCTAATGCTTTACAAAATTTTTTTAAAGTGCTGATCCGTTATCTAATTTGTTTAAAGTAAATAACGTTTTATTATTTTTGCTTCCGTGATAAAATTTAAACTTATAAAAATGTTTTCTTAAATATTTAAGTATAATCTAAATCTTTAATTGTTAGTTATTTATCTATAAAGGGGTATATCAAAGCACAAAAAATAGCTATAAAAAATGCAGACATAAAAAATATATTTTATTAAAGTATTAACTCTTTTTATCTTTTGCTAAAAAAAATGTTTAAATTATTTCTGACTATTCTTCAATAGCAGTATTAATATTTTCTTTAAATTTTCCTTAGCTTAATGTTTAACGCACTTTTAAAAGCATTAAAATTTACACATATCTATTAAATTATGGCAATATTGGCAGGTAGGCGACTAGAGCTAAGAAAACTCTCAACGCTGCACGTCATTCTGCCTGTGGTAAGCTTTTACCTGAATTATGATAATTAAATTACCCTTTTGGGTCTACAATGTGTTTTTTGTGGAAGGCCCTGCGGCTGTGTTCCTTATTGTTAGTTTTATAATTCATTAAGGTTAGATAAGGAAATAAATTTTACACTAAAATTTTTTAAGAAGAGATGAAAATAATTTATGCGGAATATTAACACGTAGATACTTGTTATTGCGGCCTGTGGTATAATAACCACTTGTAAATTTTTTAAAATTAAAAATTGGTTTTTAGATAAAAATAAATTTTCTAGAAAAAGAATTTTATATAAATATTTAATCTCCAAAAAGAATATATAGATTGGAATAGAATTCAAGTAAGATACCAATAGCAATATAATTTACTAAATAAAGGTAAACTTACTTATAAAAGTTACAGGCCAGAAGTGTCCTATATTGAGAGCGTGTTAAAACAATACTTAAAATTTGGAAAATTTCTAGGTATGACCTCTTGGCCAATACCGATCTGTGGTATAAATCATTTCTTTCTCCTCTTCTCTTTTATTTTCATTTAAGAATGCTTCTTTTTTTTAATATTTTACATTCAATTGCTAAATTTTATAAACAATTATTCAACCAATCATTCACACTTTCTAACATAAATATACAATAATTTAGTCTTTGTAATCAACCAGACGGAACCTGGAAGACTTTTATATTTCATTGCCATATGGTTCGAATTAAATTAGATAAGGTCAACCTTTTTTATCAGAGGGCCACTTTTAACTTTGGAAATTTACGGAGGGCCGCATTTTTAATAAAATTTGTTAATGATTTTTATTTAATGTGGTATTAATTCCACATGAAATGTTTTTTATTTTCTGAATTTTCTTGAATAATTCTTTTATTAAGATTTTTTATGAAAAGAAGGGCATCGCTGTCATGAATAACTCACATAATCATCAACAGCAAGAGAATCATAGGATCAACAGGGGATCTCACAAGAGCACAATTCCCCATGAAGTTAATAAACCATTTAAGTTACACCAATTTAGTTTGGCTTCAGGAGCGAGCATTGTGGAGAACTTTCTTAGTTCTGGCCGCCTTCCTGCGGTTCCCGCCACAAGTATGATGAAATCTATGTAAATTTTTATCGGTTAAGATGTATAAATTATAATTGTAGAAAATCAACTTTATTGTTAAAAGGGTTAAAAATAAGCAGCCCAAAAATACAAATTAATGAACATTTGTTCATTATCTATTCTTGGCTTGTAAAAAATTATGAATACAACATGGCCAAAAACTCTAATGTATCTTAAATTCCATTAAGAGAATTAAAGGCTAATAATCAATATTGTTACGGAAGATTATAAGAAGAACAAGCTAAAATTGGGAGACGATCATCCTGTTCAGTCCGACGAAAGCATAATTATTAAAGACAAGCCTCACAAATCTCCCTTTGAAAAGTATGATGAAACAAAAGGAGGGACTTGAATTGGGGGGTTTTGAAAAAGTTTCACGAAAGCTTGAGCTTGTTTTATAGATAGTTCCAAATACAAAAAAAAAAAAACATTTTTAAAATTTTTTCAAAAAATATACTCTATCTTTTTCTACTGTCAAAACAGATGGCCACGCTTCCTATCCATACGCTGTGGTAAGTATCAAAGGCAATCATATCGTTGTTAATCATGAGTTAGGATTTAAAAATGAAAAAAAACACCATAATAACTTTATAGAAAATCAAATGAGATATTAAAACAAGAAAATGTATTCTGGGGTTTGCAATTCCTAGCTACGTTCAGGAATACCAATGGGGAAGAAATAACATTTATAGTTATGATAGAGATGACACAGCCAGAGCCTTTTTAAAATTGCTTGGATTATTGTTTAAAAAAACCTAAATATTTTGTTTTTAAAAAGTTCTTATAAAAATATACCTACCTAACATAATCAGTATTTTAGTAGTTTGAAAATTTCAGAACATTTTTTTTCATTTCATAGTCCCCCCTGTGGCCAAAAATTACCCTGTTTTAGGCCCTAGAGCTCCAAGAACTTTATTTTACAATACTAATAACATGGGCCGGTATTCCTTTAGAGAATTTGCTATAGTGTATTAAAGGAATGCAAAAGTGTATGGTTGATGTTATAAAAGAAAAGGGTGACAAGATTAATAAATAATATAATAATTTATTTATAATTAAATTTTATTGGAAAATTTCAATTCATCAGATTTGTATAAGCATAAGCGCACACACAAACTTTTCAGATTAATTTCTACATTACAGTTATTTATTTCTTGTCGGGAGCCCGCCCAGCTAGTAAACCGAGTCTAGCAGCTGAAGTTGACTTTTTTTCTTTTATTTGTTATGCCGTTATTTGATCGGGGTGCGGTTTGTTCTTATTATAACCCTTAAATATACTTACAATTTTTGCTACAAACTTTATTTTGAACTTCGTGTTATTTACTTAGTTATGATGAGTGGAGAATATATACCCCCTTCACATCCATAATTTAATATTACTTGCTATTTTTTATGATCGGGCTCGTGCCAGCATTTTTTGTTGTATTTAACATACTAAGAGGATACATTAATAATCCATAAATTATATTAACTAAAAACGGACGCCATCAACAACAGTATTATACTGTCATTTCTCCAACTTGAATCGGGAATAACGACTTTATTGAAGCATAGTGCTCATTCGACAATACGTCTAACTGAAACAATTATAAAAATTTTATTACAATACAAATCTAGAATGAATATCTTTTTTTAAAAAAATTATATCCCATGATTGCACGAGTTAAAACAAATGATGATTACCACAATATTTGTGGGGGAAAGAAATGACAATTGAAGGAACTAAGCAGGCAAGGCATTGATTTAAAAAACAGTGTGAAAATTTTACTTTGGTAGATATTCTACTTTTTTGAAAAAAATGCAGATGGAAACCTCAAACGGTTTTTGTTGAGGACATGATTGCATCAATGAAGCTTGAGGTGCAGACGTTGCACAGACGAAATCATTATGGACATAATCGTTTATATGGACTGTACAAATAACTGTATTTCTCTATATCAAGATCGCTTGTTTGAGAGGTTTGTGCAAAGTACAATATTTGGGCACAAGCACAACCTCTCAAAACAAAAGAAAAATTTAAACACATCTTGGCAGGCCGACCTTTCGAAAGGTTAATAATAGTCTTGTTGATATGAGAAATTATGCTTGTCAAAATGATAGATATGCTTCGATCTTAACTGGTATAGATATATATTCAAAGTATGCATTAACCTGTCCGATAAAAATACTCATAATTCATAGTAGACCTAGGCAATCCGCACAGCCAAGGCCAAATTGAGAGATTTAATCAAACTCTTACAAGATACCTCCTACAAAAACATTTGTATAATCAAAACAATGCAAATAATAAAAAATGAACACTTATTTTACAAAATTGACTTGTGAGTATAGAATGGTGTTCATTCTGCTACAAATAAGTCCCCATTTGGTTTGTTTTTTAATAAAATTAATTTTAATACCGTACTATTTGACAATAAAGGTGAGTATGTAAAGGAAAATGATGAAAATGTAAACGCTAGCAGTGAAAATGAAGATCCAATAAAATGTTGTTCGATTAGTTCTAAATATTTAGCTAGAATGCACAAAAAGTGTGTTTATAATAGTATTAATGATTTTAATATTAACGACACTTCTATAATAAAGCAGGACTTTGATATAAATATAAAGACAAAAAAATCAAAGCTTAATTCTTTTTATTCCAAATTCGGTACAGTAGTGAAACTTCTTTATAACAATAGATTAAAAATAACATAGATGATGATTTTGAAATAGTTAGTATGAATCTGGTAGAAAAGATAGTATTTAATAAATAAATTAAATTTTTATTGCATTCTTTTTGTTGTTTAAATTAAATGTATAATTTTGCTAAATATTGCTCTTTAAAAAAAACCACTTACTTATCCAAGCCTATTATAGTGGTGCATTTTCAGTAAAAGCATTTATGTCTCAATGATATACTTAAATTACCTTTACAAAAAATTCTGCTCTGGGCATTAAATGTATCATTAAATTTTGATTCATTTTAGCATAATTCTTTATCTTGTGTTAGTAAAACTTGTATAATAAGCTTTACATTTAAAAAATAAACTCTATTGCATGTTTCTTCTGCTTAAATTAGCAAAAATTAAACTTAAATTTTGGTATGCATGCACGTCAGTATCAGGCCATACTGATGTTAAAGAATTAATATAAATAACATAAATAAGCATGCGCCTAACGTTGATTAAGTTTGACAATAAAAATCCGTGTTTTATTGTAAAATATTAATTTAAAGTTTCTATCAGGTAATGAGAGACAAAGAATTAAATAAACTGTTTACGTCTGAAATAAATATAACAAAAGCTTACAAAATTAACAACTCAACCAATAGTGCAACAAAACGCATATATTTGCATTCAATTGATATTCAACTATTGTATATTAAGGCCCCAACTATGTATACCCGGCTGGGATAGGTTTGTTTTAAAATATAATGCAGACAAAACAAAACCAGCCGATAAACCGAGCCCAGCTGGGCTCGCGACATTTTTAAACTCAGCTAATCTTTTGTATCTTCTTGTTATATTTTTTTTTATTTATACTTGACTTAAATCTCTTTCTCTTAGAAAACTCCCCTTTCCTCAATTTCAACACAGCGCATTATCGGCGCTAGCATGCCACAAGGGCCTCGCTCAACGGTAGAAAGATGTATTAATCTTTGTAAAGATTTTCAGAGAGCCGACAACTGGTAATACGCTACCAGACCAGGATTTTACTAGACATTGTGGTCAGATAAAACGGTATGGATCTCCTAAAACCGTGATGGACTTGCACAATCCCACGCGAAATGCCAGGCTAGATCACTAGCTTGCTACGGATTTTCAAGGGGTCCTTGGGATGTAATTTCTTACTAAAGGTCTTCGAATACGACCTGCAAATGCTTTCACGGCTACGGCAATTGTCGTGCCGATTTAAAGATGTTATGCCTCCTCTACTACACATCTATCTTTAAAAACATTTACAAACCTTAGTTGACGCCCACAGAAGAGCTTACGATACGATTTTAACGACAAATGTTTTATGACAATTGTTGTGCCAACGCTAGGTTATTACTTAGCGAATACGTATTGCTGGGATTTGAAACCATACCCCCGAGCATCGGGGCGAGACGTAACTACTCGTTCTAACAATGCTACAATATCAACAAATAATTTTTCCAGTATACAATTATTTTTTTAAAAACCTTAAAATATCCTAAATATATATATTTTACAGATATTATATTACAATATATCGTACTAAGAAAATTTATGATTATTTCAATAATTTTAGCATATGTTTTTAGTTATAATTTTGAATATAGGAATTTTTGCGCTTAATTTAAAGCTAAATTAATTTTTAAACCCTCTATAGTAATTAAATCGTAATATAAAGCAAAAAATTAAATTCCTAAAATAAAATATTGTGTTTTTTATTTATATTTTTTTCTTAATTTTGGTACGAGTCTTATCGCCCTGACGCGATTTTTTGTTGAAAAAAAATATAAATTTATAATTGACGTATAATTATGTCGATTAAAAAAAATCTAAACAAACAAGTTATGTAAATTTTTATTTGGTATTGATTTATATTTCCATCTTTATTATTTGGTGTTTATTTAATTGATAAAAGTAAATTTTGGCCCGTCTTAACGTTTTGACACTCACTGAATAAAAAGTCTGATTGGTAGTGTCTGTTTTTCCAAAATTTATATAAAACTAATTTCAAGCAAGGCCTTTATGATATGCTAGTGTGCAACACAAGTTATTGGATGTTGAGGTTTTTACTTGCTGTGTGGCTTTTCTTTGGTGTCCCAATAAAATATTTTTTTATTTTTATTTATAAAAACTATAAATGAATTTTTTTGTTCAATACCCAATTTCTAGTTTTTTTATCTCATACACTATAAAAAACACTTTTTTAAATTAAGTTTATGCAAGGTTGATATATACTGGAAATTTTCTGTGCTTGTAATATCAATTTATTATCTATTTAAGTTACCTGTTTTTTTTCTAAAATATTTGCTTTTAAAACTTAGTTTAAGTAAAGTTAGAAGTAATGCTTTTTGATAATTAAAATATAGAATAGCACTAGGAAGCAATAAATTTATTTTTTGTTCTTTGCTTTTTTTACATCAATCCCTGTTACTTTGCAATAGAGCTGATATAGCGCTTCAATGTCGTCTGATATTTTATTATTAATAACATCCCTTAAAGCATCATTCCCGTGAGTGTAATTGCAAGTGTAATCGCCAGTACAATCTTTATCATGATTTTCCTTTGGATTTAATAATTTCTTAGAATTGCTTGAAGATGCACCATCTGCTGTTTTTAAAACAGATGTAGATATATTTTCTAGATTTTTACCAGTTTTAGTATTTTGCAAGTTATTTGAACCAGAAAGCGATCTGCTGTAATTAACGTATGAAGGAATTTCTGATAATCTTTTGCTTTCATCTTCTTGTTTATCTGAATAATCACTCGATGAAAATTGACTTTCATTTTCTTGTTCATCTGACGAATCGCTCAATAATCTTTGACTTTCTTTTTCTTGTTCATCTGATAAACCACTTGATGGAGATTGTTTTTCCTTTTCTTGTTTATCGTTTATGAAAATCTCTTTTAATGATGTTTTCATATTGCTTTGTTTATATTCTTTTAACATGTTTAAATATTGATATATACATTCACCTTTATTTTTAAGCGCATTTAAAAGGAAAATCTTTTCATCAACATACTTCTCTTTTAGGGCATTCATTGTCTCCTTCAATTCTTGAATTTCTTTTTTAAGTTCTTCGTTTTCTTTCTTCATGTCTTTAAGACGTCTGCCATAATGTTTTAATTTTTCCTTTTCTGATTTTTTAGGGTTTTGAGTAGTTAATTTTTGTTCTTCAATTTTTGCGTCTTTCTTTTTTAATTGCTCGTCTAGATGACTTTTGCTCTCACCACCATATTTTCCTATTATTGGGTTAACACTCCTCCCACAAACTCTTAATGCTTGTTCACTAACATCTACATCAGTACATACAATTTGGGATAAAAGTATCAATAAGTATTGCATTGTTGGGTATCTTTATTTTTTTTATATAAAGTTAATCTATTTTTTAATAATTTTTTTAAAAATTGTACGATCAACAAAAAATAAAATTGTTAAATAAAAAACAAGATTTTTATAAATTTTAAGCGTTTTTGACAAAATTTGTGATTTAATTTGCAACAATTTCTTATTTATTAAATTTAAACTGTATTTATGCTAAGGAGCAAAAATAGAATTTTTGCTTTAATTTAAAATTTAAGTAAAATGAATGTTTGCAAAAATTTTTAAAGAAAAGTATTCTTAAATTAAAAAACATAAATGAAATTTTTACTAAATAAAAAATAAATTACTTGCTTTTTATGGTAAATAGCAAATTTCATTGGAAGATAATTATGATTTAAGTACTTTTAACTGTAATAATCTTTATTTCTTAGAATTTTACAAAAGAATGCTTTTTTTAGATATTATGTATTATTGTTGTTATTGGCTTTATATCCTTTAAATTGCTATGATTTATAGATGAAATATAAAAAAATTTTATGTTTTATTATTCTAACAACATTAATTGTTGATAAAAAATTAATTAGCAGAAAATATATTATAGATCAAAAATAAAAGATAGATAGATAAGAATGGCTAAAAGATGGTTTTGGCGTGCATTATACTATATTATTAATGTGCAGTACTTAGTGATTTGACACTAATAAAACAGATTAAAATAATGAATGAGATTGCTATATAGATTTAATCTATAAATTTGTGTAGTGCACTGAACTATTTTCTTATTTACTAAAGTAAAAGATATTATTTTATTATATTTTAAAGACCATCTTTAATTTTTAAAAATTTAATTAAAGCTTTTTGATTTATTAAATTATTTCAGATAGCTAAATTATTTTTTAGTAAGCTTAACTTTTATTTCTATACTTAAATATCTACTAAAGAAAAGGAAGATCATCTTATATATTACGTATTTTGCACAAAAACAAAAGAAAAGTATAATTTCAACATTAGAAATATATTTTTTTATTTGTAACTTTTCTATAGATTTATACTTTGGCCTCACACCCTTGTAATTATAGTAAGAAAAGCTTTACAAAATAATTTAAACTGCTAGTTACATATTCCTAATATATTTAAAGTTAATAACAACAATTTTGTTAATCCTTGTTTTTATGATACAATTTAGATCTATTAAATATTATAAAAAATTAAAAATGTAAATATTTTAGCAAAGACTCAACTTCAATACTTATAGAGGAAAGCAGATTTAGGAAATGTGTTTCACAAAAGTATTAGAGTGTTTCTTACAATACTGAAAATTTTTATGTAGAATCTTATTCTTATTTGTACTAAAATGGTTGATTATTTTATCGTAATTGTTTAAAACACTAAGAAAACAAGTAAGTGCTAAGGGCTCTACGATTGCATTTAAAGGCAAATTAGTAGTGTTGTTAAATATAAAGCAAGTTGATATGACTGTTTTTATTTAAGGTATTGTAGAAATTTTCCTTAGTAAAAAAGAATGTTTATAAACCATTAAAATGCCAATTTTTTTTATTATTAATATATTAATGGTAAAACGTGGTTATGTTTTTTTACTTCTTTTGTTAATTCTACGTTATTTTATTAAATTTACACGTCATGGTAGAAGATAGTTTTTAGTAAAATTTCATCTAGTAGTCATGTTTTACATTAATCAATGACTGTTTAATAGTTCACAAATACGTGACATTATCTAAAACATATTTATTGATTGGATGAATCTTACTTAAATATTTTATTTTTAATCTTTTATGTTCTTCTTCTTTTTTTTAAACACTACACAGTTTTATATTAAAAATGCTTACAACGATATTTTTGTGTGCGATAGACTACCAGGTGTGCCAGGTCGTCTTGCAAAACCTTGTAGTAGATCTCATGGCATAGATTTTATTACCAATGTTGATAACAATGGATTTATGACACTTAAACATCAAGACACAGAACATGTATTAACAGTAGATCCTGAAGATAATTTATTAAAGTTTTCATGGCACAATCCCGATTTAACTGAGAAATTCATGTTTGTAATGATAAGCCCATTAAACTATATTATAAAATATAAAGATGGCTGTTTAACGTATGACAAAAATGACCATAAATATTTTCTTGATGCATGTGCTAAAACTGACGCACAGATGTTTCAGATATTGACACATTATGAATACAAAAAGTCAAAAAATTATAAAAGACGTTATGCAATAATTAAAAACGAAGGTTTTCCTATTTATGGTGATTCCGAATCAACCTATGCTTCTAGTTGTAAGGTAAAAAGAAAATGTTTATTTAAAAAAAGTCGTATTAGATCTACTTTTTAATAAAAACTTACAGTGTTAATATCGTAAATTTATTAAATAAATATTTTCTAAGACATTTTATTGTTACACATATATTATTAAGTTTTCTTATCAAACGATACAATTTTTAATTTTATTTATAGTAAAATTTTTTAGTATTTATACTTTTACTAACTGTTATAAGCTGATTAAAATTCTACTATATTTTGTAATTAATAATGCTAGTTCTTATTAATCATTAAATTGTCAAATAAGTAACACCCTCTTCTTTGCTCTTTTCCACCAAATTTATTTATACATATTATTTTTTTCTGAATTTACATAGTATTCAGAGGAAAAGAAAAAATGGAGTTTTACCTGAAATGGGTAATTATGCTGTATGCTCTTACTCATCATAGCATAAGCATATAAAAAAACTTTTAAAGAAAACATTTTAAGAATTTGTGCCACTTAAACGCTTATCTGTAAAAAGTAAGGGAGATTATTTGCATTTTTTTACAATTTACGTAAATAAAAATTCAAGAAAGATTTTTAAAAGTTGTTTACTTAAAGAAGTACTTTTGATATTATATTGTTTTTACAAGCAATTGACGCAATTTATAAGTAGAAAACAATTAATTTATTGCATTAATGTAATATTATACAAAACATTAAGGCAATTTATAAATACAAAAGATGATAAATAACCAAGAGGATTTTTATTATGAAAGATAAATGCAGCTACGTGATGGTCTTAAGAGTTAACAGCTATAAATATTAATGTGTTTAAACTTCCGATTATCTTGAAAATTAATAATAAATGTGTGTATTTTGGTTGTAGATAAAAATTAAAAGTTAATTTTATTTTTAAATTTATAAAATGTGATTTAAAGTGGTAGAAGATGGAATTGCAAGTAAAACATTGAGATTACAAAATGAAGAAATATATTTAAACTTTTATTAGAGTCAAAGAAAAATTAAAGACTTATAGTTTTATATTTTTATATAAAATTTTAAAGTATTCACAGAAAACATCTTCTTATAATCAAATGTTATAAAATGCAAAAAAGTTCATAATTAAAAATAATAGCTTTTTAAAATGTTAAATACAGTATTTTGTGTACAAATTTTTAAATTGTGACACTGAAAGAATACAGTGTACAGAAAATAATATTTACAAAATTACAACTTAGTTATTCATTTAGAAAAAAAAGCTACATAAATCGTATTTATTCATTAAAATATACAAGTTTCAGCTTTTCATACATTTCTCTCCAGTTCTTAATATCGGGTGTCTCCCACCTATTTTCCATCCAATTTTTTATTTTAAATGACTTCATCATATTGTTAAAAGTATAATTATGCTCCATTTTATACTCCCAAAATTCAATAGTATCACGTATTGCAAATTCATTAACGGAAGAAAGCCTTTTTGGGTCACACATGTAATCATGTTTTGTTGCAGATAAATGGCTTAATAATTTGTAATTTTCCTTTCCTCGAATCATTAACAATCCCCTCGACTTATATCGATCCGACGAATTATCCGCTTCTTCAAATACCTTATAATTAGAAGTATTATGAAGGCTGGAAGCAACAAATAGGGCCAATTTGGATTTATCACGCCCACCAATTGTATCCCATATAATTTTTAAAATTTCTCCAGCATTAAATATTTTTTCATTTGTTGAATTTATTGTTTTCATGAAAAATACACCAAAGTTCCAACTTGAAGTAGAATCCATATAATCTTTAAAATTTCGGCCTTCAAAACAATCTGTTCTCCCTACTTGACTTTTAGATGGCAATTCATAAGCCCTAACTAAAATTGGCTGATTATCTAAACAGTGATGGTGACCACAACATTGCCTTCTACTACAACTAATGAATTGAATAACAAGAGTACATACTAATTTAATCATAAGGGGATAATTTTTATTTTGTTAAATACTAATTTTAATTAAATACACAAAACAACAAACAATAAAAATTTTATGTAAACCGTTTTTTATGCACAATTTATGTTTAGTATCATTGTTTTAAGTATTTGTTTAAAAATGTTATAAATTAATTTTTAAAAAGTTGTCATAAACAAATAAAAAATAAATAAAAGTTTATACTTTTAATTAAGCATATTAAATTAATTAAAAGTAAATTGATAAGTGATATCTATTTAGATTAAAATTTATTTATTTAATTAGTATTAAAAGTGTTGTTAATAAAAATAATAAACAATTTTAATTTAAGTCAAATATCTACTCTAATTTTAAATTTTAAAAATTCTTGGATCAAAGTGCACTCATTTTATCAATTTAGGTAATATTTAAAACTATTTTAATGTAAACGTAAACATATTTTTAATTAAAGACATAATTTAAAATGATTCATGATGTGCTCTATTAACATTTGTTTAGGCGCACTAATTTTAGCTGTTTATTAACATTAAGAATTATTGAAATGTAAATAATTTAATCAAAAGTCATATTTTTAATATGTTTTATGATTGGTGTAAGCTTATTTATCAATTATTTAAAAGCTTTAAAATAAAAACCAATCCACTAAATTAAAAAATATTACCAAAAAAAGCATTTATAAATTTATTTGCATTTTTTAATCTAAATTTGTTTTTGATATTTGATATTTATGTTTTGAGACATTTATAATTACGTTTTAATTTTTTGTATCACATTTTTTTATTTAACAAAACATGAAAAAAAGGCATGTTCATATTTTTTATAAATCTATCTGTACAGGTCTATATAAGACATTACAATGATGATTTGTATATAAGTGGCCCAGAACAAGGTCCATTCCAGAGACCAGTAGAACCATCTTTTATAACAAAACGAACAGATTTTTATATTGATCAAGAAAGGGACGGGGAGGTGTATATTCGACCAATCGACAGTAGTTCTGTATGGAGTGTAAACAATGACTGGACACTCACTTACAGCAACAAAAAAGGCGGGCCTAACCAGCTGTTTTCTTTGACAATGATTGCGCCAAAACTTTTTCATATTACAAATATGGGTAAATGTGTCGAATACAGACACCATGACAAAAAGTACGTATTAACCGATTGTTCAAGTATTGATACTCAAAAATTTATAATTTTCTCTAAGGGCGAGGAATTAATTGATTCTTATATTCATAATAATCTACTGGATTTGGTTGGTTTATCTAAAGCTGATAAACTTTTGACGCTGGATGAATTATTGCAGAATAAGATACCAAGGGCAAGAGATCTGCTTGCAATGAGACGTCTTAGTGAAATTTATTAAAGTATTATATGTGAATATTTTTTTTTTATAAAATAGATGACATCTTTTATTAGTTTAAAAGTTAACTATGTTTCCATTTTAATATAATATAGCCATTAAAATATTTTTCTAACTACATTTAATGTTGTTACTAAATATACATTTTTATCTGCTTAATCATAAATGTTAAAAACTATTGATTTTATCCCTTTGATGTTTATAAGTATTTAAATACAATCATGATGATTAATTAAATTTATTAAGAACAAATATTTTTGTCACAGCAATATATATAGCAGTTACTTTTTTATAAAACAATTTAATTTGAGTGCTTGTTGATGCTATTTTTATAAAATAAAATAAGAAATTGGGTAAATTTTTGTGTTTGCTTAATAAAATTTTTAGTTTGTTTACAATTACAGTAAAATAATGAGATTAAGTGACATACAATGAACATGTATCCGGTAAAACAAACTAAATTGTTTATCTCATTAAAATACTAATGTATATTTTAATAAAATAACAACTTGTTAATTAAGTATTCTTAACTTTGTATTAAATTGTATTAAACAGCACAAGAAAATGGGTTCATACTTGAATTATATGTACGTTTTGAGATTTAAATTGCATTTTTTTTGGCATTTAACATTAATTGGCAGCTGGGATGAATAATAATTGTAAATGATAAAAATACATGGATGTACGAGCAATAAAACGGTCTTTTTGTCATTAAAATGCTAGACTCCTATGTCAAAATATTAAAGTGATTATATATCATCAAGAATGTCTAACACATGATTCAGTTCAATAGTTTTTGATGATGAATATTGCTAAATTCTTTATCTAGGATCGGTGCATATAATTCGATACAATTGTAAGGTCATTTTAAAACACTCAAGCTTTTTTTCAATAAAAGTAAACATTATAAAAACTTAACAATAATTGTACATGAAATAAAAATAAAAAAGACATTATAAAGTTGAAAATAAGACGTTTTTTTGTTCATAACCATAAATTGCCAAATTTATTTCTGTAATTATATCTACATGAATAGGCGCTTTTGCTTTTTAAATACGTTTTAGTGCGCATTATCAAAAATAAATATAATTGAATTTTATAGCACACAAATTTATTTTTTAGATACCCACGTTTTCTGAATACCTAAAAATGTAACAATACATCAAAACTATAACTTTTTGGGATGAAACAGGCAAAAAAAACTGTGAAATTTATCATATAACATAACGTTGTATAGCCAAATATTGCAAGTTTTTTGTGATTAGATTTATTACAAATTTAATCACAAACATGTGCGAATAATCAACGTCAGTATCATGCCTATAAATATTATAAATAACTTAACAACACCCAATTATACTACTATTTAACTTATCTATCCTAAACAAAAGATATATATCAATACACGGTTTTAAATTTTTTATATATATTGAATTTTATTTTATCTCTTATGCTATTTTTTTATTTCAATTTATCTGTACAGATGTATATCAAACACCTAAACAGGGATGTTTATGTAGGAGGATTACTAAATAACATAAATTCAATGCCTTTAGTACCAGTCAATAAATCAGAGCGTGAAAATTTCAAGTTATATCCAGATTTGAATGGGTTATTACTACTTAAGCCAAAATATAGTGATAAGGTATGGGATGTAGGAAAGGCAGATACACTTACTTACTGGACAAGACATGGTGAACCAAATCAGCGCTTTGCATTTTTATATGTAGGATATGATACCTACATTATCAAAAACAGGGAAAAATGTATGGAATTCAAGCCTTTCTTACGAAAGTACATATTCAGCGAATGTGACGATTCAAGCGATCAAAAATTCACACTTGTTGCGACAGAAGGTGAAATCACATCAGCAAATGATCTTATTACTGATTTAAAAAGTGCTGAACAAGAACAAATAGCTAAATTTTCTGTATTACAGGAAAAAGCTATTAAGTACACGAAACAAAAAGCAGTGAATTTTTTAAAAAATTTAATAGTTGGAAACTAACAATAAACCTTAATTAATTTCAATATTTTTTTATATTTATAATATTGAAAATAACATTAATACCTACATGCAAGTTTAATTTTTAAAAAGTCTATATATTTAATAAAAACCTGATTTTCATTAGTTTAAAAAATAAACAGATTGTATAACAAAATATTCTAATACAGTTTATTTTTAATGTGTTAATATTTTATTTATTCTAATAAAAAGTTTCCCGAACTTTTTTAGATAGGCAAGAAAGATAAAATTCATTCCTTTGAAAATTAAAAAAAGTAAGAAAAAAATTAGTATTTACCTGTAAATTATCTGCTATTTAATGATTTAATTAAATGATTTAATTCGTCATTTCTGGTGAGAAATCATATTATGTTTTTTTGAATTTCAAACCAATAAACGTCACCATATTTAAAAATGAAAAATCGAAATTATTGTATATTTGTATCTTATAAAAGTTATTAAAAACATTTTTTTTGATTATAATTAAAAAACTCATTGATTAGTTGTTTTACTATAAATTAAAAATTTCTCTAATGATATGCTTCTTGTTTATATAAATTTTTCATTACAATTTTATATCAAACATTTTTATGACAATTTATATATAGGAGGTAAGGTAGATGTCTCAGATTATACACCAGTAGAACCAGAAGGCATAACAGAAAGGGGAGATTTTCAGATTGAGTATAATAAAGATGGACTATTATTAATTAAACCCAAATTTGGGAATAAAACATGGGATATCGGTGATGAATGGACGCTTACTTATTGGAGAAGACATGGTGAACCAAATCAGCTTTTTTATTTTGACTATCTTGGACCATTTACATATGCAATAAAAAATAGAGGAAAATGTCTTGAATACAATTCTTCTACAAAAAGATATATTGCAAGTAAATGTAATTACACAGCCAATCAAAGATTTGCTTTTATAAGAACATTGGATGAAGAAAGAAGCAGGACTTTTTGAAATTTGAAAAATAAAAAATTAATTGTTTTATTGACTTTACATTTAAATAATTTAAAACAGTTATTTGTTATTAACAATTTAGATAATCCTAATGAAAATTTTTTAAATTTCTTTTTAGTGTATGCTAGCATTAGTTTAACAAATTAATTTAATATTTTTTTTGATTGAGTGAATTCTTTTATATGTACAACTGTGCAATTTTATTTAAATATTTAAAGTACAAATAAATTATTAAATATTTTGATGTTAGTGTATTGTATAATACAAAAATGTACAAAAGTATTTTTACATTTTTTTATAAATTTTGTTTTTTGATAATATCTTTTTTTCAAATAGCACAATATTAAATTAATATACATTAACGGCAATATTACAATTAATAAGATTATAAATTTAAAATACATATTGTTTTATTTATGTAGAACTTACTTTTTTACTCAACTGCTTACTATCGTATTGTTAAAAATTTTTATTTGTACATTACCACCCCTTCAAATTTGTAAAATTTTTTTTAACAACTTTTAAAGGTATTTACTTGATTTACAAATAAAATATTACCAGTTTAATTTTCACTTGCGCACTATTAAGTTTGTAGAACCAATTGTTCTTAATAAAAATCAACTTTATAAAATCTATATTATAGAATCTTAAAAGTATACTATATACCATTGGAGATTTACTGTTAAATTGTTTTATTTCTATTAAATTCTTTAATTTATCAAAAAAATTATACTATTTATTCAAGTTTTTTCAAACTTCAAACCAATAAAATTATTTAAATTGAAACACATAAAAATTATTATTTAACAAACACTGACATTAGTAAAGTAATTCTACAATTTTCTTATTTATATGTAATGTTATTTTTTTTATTTATCAAAAAGTAAAAAAAAAATAAAATAACTGGTTATTAATATACATTTAAATAAAATTTTACAAAAGACATGTTAGTTTACTTTTTGGGGTATTCATTACAGTTCTACATAAAACATTTCTATGACGACTTATACATAGGAGGTGATATATATGCCAATGATCGAACCCAAGTAGCACCTGAAGGAATAAATTTTAGAGGAGATTACATGTATGAGTTAGGCTATTCAGGTTTAATTATAAAACCAAAATTCGGTAAAAAAATATGGGATATTCGTGATAATTATTCACTCATCTACTTTAAAGAGCACGGTGGACCTAATCAAGTTTTTCAAATTGAATATATTGGGCCTTATACTTACCAAATAATAAATAGAGGTAAATGTCTTGAATATAAACCTTATAAAAGAGAATATGAAACTACCTATTGCAACCGAATGGCTAGGAATCAAAAATTTGCATTTATAAAGACAGAAGAAGAAGAGATTTACAGAACGTATGGATAAACTGAGCTATTAATACAAAATAAAATATTTATTATTAAATTACATTTTCATCTGTATTAAAATCTTAATTTTTAATTTTAATTTAAAATTATCAATACTAAAAATAAAATATAATTGTAATAAATTTATAATGTATGTTACTGTAAACTTGTTCTGTTATTAATTTCGCTGCTAAATTTGCGTTAACGATTTTTTTAATGCTTATAAAAATTTTAAACAGATTTTGACATAAATTGCGTGTTAAATTTTGTGTTAACGTAAAATTTGGCAAATCAAATGTTTTTAATAAAAAAAGAAAATAAAGCATATTTTAATAAAAAAGTTATTAGTCTCTAAAATTTTCTAAAAAGACAAAAGCTTTTTAAGTAAAGCTTTATGAGGCTTTTGTAAAAACTTTTTGTTTTAGTAGAAATGTGTTTATTCATTTCAAAATTTTTTTGGTTCTGTTTAAAATTAATAACCCTTTCTTTTTAAAAAACTTTTTATAAAAGTTTTAAAACAATAAATTAAATATTTGTTATGAAAGATCATAACATTCTCAAAAACTTTATCAATAAATAATCCTAGATTTAAAACAAACAGCATAAATAATTTAGCAATTTAATCTAAAATAAGAACGTATAGATCTCAATTAAAAGTTTTCTTACAACAAAATTTAATAAAGAATTTTTTTTTGGCCTTACAGCAAAAATAAGTAGAATTAATGAGGTATATTAAAAAGTTACAGTATTCATTCTTAGTATTTTAACCTCTTTTGCAAACCCTAGATCTATTTTAAATAAGAAAACATTTTTACACAAGATAACTATTGTATTAGGCCTAATTTTTTTTTAATAGTTATAGGTAAATTATTTTTTTAAATACAATTGATAGTGATATAAACTTGTAAAAAAGCCGACTTCTTTATGGGTTTTGGCATATTCAGTTTCGGTTATTATTAATTAATAATATCTTAAAGCTATTTTTTTTAATTAAATGATTATTTTTTGTAATATAAAAAAATTTCAAATTTAGATAGCATGTTTAATTGATCCTACTTTTATTTAAAGGTTTCGTGAGTTAAAAAATGTTTTGTTTTTTATCATTATTTTGTGTTATACAGCACCATTGATAGGTTTTAAATTACTTTTGCTCTATTAAAATTATGTTTTTGTTTTTCAATGGTGCTATTAATAAAAAGTTTCGCTTTAACAAATATTTGTAAAAATATGAAACAGAAATTTATTATGAAGAAATAAAACTATAACATGAAAATTTATACCACAGATTCTTTTTTTAATAATCAAAAGTATTTATCAAACCTGTTGTTTCTTAAACTTACGTTTACTATTATTTTTGAAAAATGTATACAAAAACTATAAATCAATTTATTTTATGATAAAATATAAAACACTTTGTTTTATATTTTTTAGTATTAAATAATTTTTTTAAAACACATTATGATATTCTACTTTTTTTGTCGTTCCATTCAATTTTACATTAAGCACTTAAATGATGATTTATATATAGAAGGACTACTAGAAAGCGCGGATACCACACAAGTTAAACCGACTACTGAAAGTGAGAGAGGAAATTTTATTATAGATCCACTCAGTAATGGAAAAATAATGATCAAACCAAAATATGGAAATAAAGTATGGGATATAGGAAAGGGAAATGCTCTTACATATTATTACAATCATGGAAAACCCAATCAACTGTTTAAACTGTCTTATGTGGGATCTAATTCCTATGTGATAACGAATGAAGGCAATTGTCTCGAATATCAACCAAATACAAAAAATTATGTTTCTAACATATGTAATAATTCAAATAATCAAAAGTTTTTAATAATAACAGAAGAAGATGAAAAGAAAAATAGTTGATAGTTGATTTAAAATTTAATATTAATAATAATACAAAAGTTTCTTTAATATATTAATTAAATATTTAATATTTTGATTAAAAATTACATTGAATTTTTAAAAATCTAACGATATAGAAAATTATTAAACAATAAAAAATTATAAAACAACATCAAAGCAATTAATAACACATTAAAAACTTAAAGAAATACTTTTATCTTTTTTAAATCATATTATCCGAATACTTTAAAAATATGTTTCTTAAATTCTAAATTACTTTTTTAGTTTTTTAAAAATTTAATTAAAAAAACGTTTTTTTAAAAAATAGTCAAAGTAAATTAAACTACATCTAACACAGTGGCATGAGCTTAAGGAATCTGGGATGTCATGAAATATCTCCCAGCACACTATTTGTGCTAGAGTTATAATTTTTTTGATTTGGATGTGAAGTCTTCTTGGGCACTTTAAGCTTCTGCTTACTGCAAGGTAAAAGAAATTGAAAGCATAATGTTTTTTATTTTTATTTTTTATATATAGTTTTTACCTTCTTATATACACACATAAAGTATCTTTAATTCCAAAATCATTATAAACGTTTAATTGTCTTTTAAATGCACTAATTGAGCAATTTACTTGTCAATTAAATGTTTCATGGGTAATTTTACCACACAAAAAAATAAAAATTACTGCATTAAAAATTTTTTTGAACATAAAAAAAAAAACAAAATTAAGTATTTAATTACCTCTTCATTGGTCTGTAATGTCTATGTCCCCCTCTTCGCCGATAATGCGGATCGTCAATATGATGCCTATGTCTTCTTTTTCGTCTTATAGGTTCATCAAAGCAAGAACAAGAGTCGTCTTCTGCATGTTCATTGTCATGTGTTGGTGAAATTAACGAAGGCCTAGTTAATTGTTCTGGTCTTTCCTCATCAGGTCCGACCTTAAATAACTTATTTCTCTCGCTACCAAGTTTACAGTCTTTGTAATCAAACTTATTTGTTACATCATTGTAAACAACACATTTTTCTCTGTTCATTAGCATAAATTCTTTATTATTTATCCAATTTAACTCAAAGACTTGATTGGGTCCACCATGTTTTGGCCACAGTATTAGTGATTCGTTATTCGCGATATCAAATATTTTGTTATATTTAGGAGATATTATAAACAATTTTCCATTGTTGTCATATTCCAATAAAAACTTTGAGATATAGCTTTTATCACTGCATCCATAAAGTGTATAACCATCTTTTGTACATATGTACATACCAAATCCCTTAACTAAAAATTGTAATTCTTCTGAATAAATTGCACTAAATAAAAACAATATTAGCATTTTTGATATAACTCTGAAAAAAATCAACATATATTTAAATAAACAAATAAAAAATTTTTACATTTTTATTTACAAATTTTAAAACATAAAATGATAATAGATCTAAAAAATTTTTACTTGGTCATCCATATTATTTATATTTTATAAAAAAATAATTTTTTTTTGCTAATCGTAAACAACTTTATATGAACGAGCAATACTTTTAGTACCATAGGGTTCATTTTACACATTTACGTTATAGTACATATTTTTAGATCATTTGCATTAATTCGCCCAATAGGCGACTCGATGTAACTAATAACTAATTAAGCGATAAATTCTAAATTTATGAAGAAAGTAAATCAATTTTTATTACTACCAGAGCTAAGAAAAATCATTATTTTTTAGGTAATATTCAACTAAACTATTAAATTTAACAACATCTTGTTTTTCTTAGTTTTACTTCATAAATAATACTTTTTAAAGATAATTTATATGAAAAAGGGGTATTTTCCTTATTTTTATAATCCGTGTTGTGCAAATTTTTTTATATTTTTTTCATTGATGAATGTGACAGATTACAGATGGCGGGTTTTGCGTGTAGGCGAACTAAGTTTTAATTATTTATTGATTCCATTGCTGCTTCATAGTTCTGTTATTTATATTTATAGCTTTGATTTCCTCGATTTTTTTTTCAATAAAAACCAATCATTTTTTTCGTTTTATTTATTGGTTTCTGCATTGATAGATTAATTTAACTAAACCAATAATTTCAACAAATAAATGTTATGATTATCCGTAACATTCTGTATTCTCAACAAACTAAGACTTGATACTCTTTATGTGGTACTATTGTTCCTATTTCTTTTACTCTAATCCACAACCCTTTACCAGATACTTCAATTATCTTGTGCTGTCCCCCGCATTACTATCGAATTTGTCGATGTTAACTTTTTTAAAAAATATATTTTCGACTTTAAATTTGTCATATTTGAATTTAATATCATCTTTGTCATGGTTACTTTTTTCTAATGATTGTATATTCTCGAATATTTTAGGGATTTCGAATGGTTCGTCGATTATGTGTTTATTAATTTCTTTTTAATTAAATACTAATTTCAGATCGCTTGTTTACTTTTCAACTAAAAAGATTAAATACGACACTTTTGTTTTATCTTCTTTTAGAATATTAACCTTAAACAGTCAGCCTATTTCAACTTTTGAGCTATCTTTGTATTTATCGGACATAGAATATCGCTATTTCTTGATTTAATACGTCAGCTTTTACCAAAATTTTTTTGTTCATTTTTAAGTATTCATTATTTCCCTTCATGTTTTACATTCTATTTTTTTTTAAAATGATTTTATAATTTATAAAAAATGTTATATAACACAAGTCTATGTTTTCTGAACCGATAATGTTAATCCTCTTTTTGTTTATTAATATATAACTCTCAGCAAAATTAAATACACAGTCATTATTATAATAAACTAATATCTAATAATTATCTATTATGTAGTATTTCATCTTAAAATCTGAAACAATTTTCTTAATACGAATAAGTAATATCATTGTTTTTTTATAGCTCTTAGCATTGTTTGCTATTTCTAGAGGCCCATCTACTTGTGTTGATATCTTAATTTTTCTAAATGGTTTTATTGACAACGTTTCTACTAGACCAGGCGTCTAAATTCATTTGTAATTTACTTTTGTCGATAATTCTTTGTATAATTAATTTTAATCTTTTGATTTTTATTCCTTCTTGACACAAACTTTTTATATTTCGTGTGATCAAATTTATTTAATCTTTAGTTTCATCCTTAAACCACCACTTTGTGTCTTAACTTTGTAGCTTAAATATAAATTATTTTCTCTTTTGTTTTTTTTATTGTTATTGAAATTTCTATAAGTCATTTTTATCTCGTCAGTGAATTGATTTTATTTTTTTGAATGATTATAGCCTTTTACATTTAACTAATTATCTTCAAGATCTATAAATAATCCAAAGTTATATCAACTTTATAAATTTATAAATCTTTCAACATTTTTGCAGTATTAAAAGATTAAATTTTCAATGAAGCTTTTTCTGAACCGTTTGTTATATTCATTTTATGATAATTTTTTCAATATTTGCGTATTGATACAAATTTAACTTATTGAGTTGATAAAATTCATGCATGCTTTCACATTAAATATGTCACACTTTTTAGGTTACAAATGGATTCAGTTGAATCCTTCCTGTGGCGAGCCTTTGTAGTCAAGAATTTTGTAATTTCTGTTAAATTTTTTTTTGACAACCCTTTCCCCAAAGAAGGTCTAAATATTGTATTCAAAACAATTTTTTGTTTTTGCAGTAGTCCGTTTAAGACTCTATGATATGCAAATAAATCACCAATCAATTTTTTAATAATTATGTGTTTACATTCCCTAATCTTAAAATTTTTATATTGAAGCAATTCTTAGGCCTGTAATCTTGATCTTGAATAATTATATATACTTATCGATTTCGTTTTTTATTTCAATTCTTACTCCTACTTTTTTCTTTGATATCAAAACACAGAAAACTGAGAGCACTTCATTGTTTTTGGGTAGTATTTGACCAAACTCAAAATTAAGAGCATTTTTATTATAGCTATTTATTAATTCGTTTAGTGTTAATTATATGCGGATTTAAAAATTTAAAAAAATCGATCTTCTTCTAATAATATTAACAATTTTTTTATTATCTTCTGCTTACCAATATGATACTTCCAAATAAATTGTATCAGGTACTTAGAATGCTGTTCTTGGACAGGCAACTTTTTTCAAAAAAATACTTTGATCTGTACCACAGACATTCTATATATTGTATGTGTACAGAGGGGCACAAGAGGTCAACAAAATTAATCAACTGGTTTATCGTTTCATTGACATAATTCGTCAAAGAGGATAAATTTAAAGTTTTTATTGCAGTATTATACACACGCCATTCATCTATTACAATAATTGTATCAAGTAAAACATTTTAAAAAATTATACACGCGGTGTTAATTGTGTTTCTATTTTCTACAGATAAAATAAAACATCTTTTTGATCTCCTTTCAATACCTCTGATATACCATTGATCATTTCTAATTCTTCTCCGATTATATTTCTTTTAAAAAAGACTTTCATTAATTTATGCATTTTTTGGCATACTTTACTCGTTTAACCAACCTATCCAAATTGTTTGAGCAGACATATATTCACAAATACATTCCCTAACTAAATTGACCATTTTACTGGTTGTTTTCCGACACACATTAAGTTCATATGCAATATCTACAAAGGATAATCTAGAAAGGTATTTATAGGTAGCTTTTAAAGTAGTCTTTACACCAATCTTGAATGAATCAAAAAAACTACGTTTTTTTAATGAAAATGTGTACATACATGGCCTTTTATAAGCCCAATTACAGCCATCGGGTGCACTTTTACGCTTTACATATGACATTCGAGACCTCCTTTGACACTCGCTACATGCCATAGTATTGGAAAAAAACCCTAATTTGCAAAGTGTTGCCTTGGCTGCACTAACATCTGTAAAAGCATTCTCAAAGTAGACTCCATTAACTGTAATAGGCAAGATATCCTCATTATTATCTACTCTTTCTGCTCCAACAATTTCAGTTTAGATTTCTCAGTTATTAGGGGCTACAAATATTTTTTTTCAAGAAATGCTTATAATTAACGCCAACCCAACCATTAATTTTATTTTTATTTTTGTTCAGCTATTTACTATCCATATCTTTAGTTAATATTCCATCAAAGCTAAAGTAAATAAAAATCAATCATAATTATTGTATAGTGTATTTACTGATTTGCGTTTATTTAATGTTTCTAAATTAACGAACTAGTTCAATAAATTTATTTATGATTTTTTATAACAAAGTTAAATAATAATATTATAAAACAAAAATTTTAAAATATGCCTTAAGAAGCTGTTTTTGAAATAACACACTTCACTTCATGGCATTTACTAAAAAAAAAATTCAGGTGAATTTGGTTTTTAACCACATTTAAAATTTTAAATTTTTTTTGTTTATAAAGTATATTTTTAAAGAATTTTTTACTACTTTAATAAATTTTACCTTAAGCCATAAGAAGAATTAAAATTAAGAATAAATTAAAACTACCTTAAAATATGGAGTTTAACATAAAATGATTCTAAATGAAAAAATTACAATGATGGGCTTCTTGGCAAAAAGACCCAACAATAAAAAGATTATTGGGATGTTATAAGGCAGGTGGTGCTGTTTTTTATACGTTACGTTAGTAACAAAGTGGTGATATATTTTTTTAATTATTTTCTTTATTTTTTCTTTTTTCATCCAATTACAATTGTATTTAAATATTTTTGAGGCCTAATTTAAGAAGAGTTTAACATTAATGATAACAAATCTGTAAAATAAAAAATGTATATTTTTTTTGACTTAAAACCAGTATTAAGCTTATAACGTGTTGTACACAACAATAAAAATTCCAGAAGGTTTTTATTCTGTCTTTTATTATTTTGAGTCTTTAAGCATATTTCAGGTAAAGTGTAAAGAAAAGAAATTATTTTTAAAGATAATTAAAAAATTTAAAACCTTTCCCCCAACAATGGTTTATTATGTAAATCTCTAAACCTACATATGGCTCTATCTAAATTTTTAAAGGTAAAATTATTAGCTTCTAAGAATAGAATTCCTCACAGGTTCAAATTTCAAAAAACCTAAAGAAAAATCAAAGTACGGCTCAAGGATACCATCTAAATATCAAAATTCTGACGATACGGATAATTAAGGCGGAAATGAACATCAAATTTCGTAATACTTTTGAAATTGACGTGATTAAAAAATTAATAAAAAAAATCAAAAACCATCTTTAAGAAAAGCAGCTATTAAGTTTAAAGGGGGTACTGGAAGTAAATATTGCATATTTCAGTGAAGAATATTCTAACGAAAGCAAATATTGGAGCATTTTCGTCTATTTAAAAATCTCGCTTGTCAAAAAAAATGTTTTAACTAGAATCAGGAAAATGGCAAATATTATTTGTCTTTCAATGATATAAAAAGCATTATATTTTCAAATGAAAGCAAATTTAATCTGTTTATTTCCTTCGGTAAGGTTTCTGTCTAGAGAACACAAAAAATTGGCTTTCTGCTGAAGGATTTAACACCAATAGTTAAATTTGAAGCGGATCTGTCATGGTATGAAGATATTTCTTCTAATATTGTGTAGGAAGGTTGGTATTTGTCGATGGAATCATGAATGCTATTGCATATATTGACTTTTCAAATAACCCGACTGCCTTTGTTGATAGAATAAGCCTTAAGAAATTTATTTTTAATAAGATAACGATCCTAAGCACACTTCAAAGCTTGCAAAGGTTTTTTTGATAAGAAAGACATAGAATTGCTGCCATGGCCTCCACAATCACCAGCTTTAAATTCTATCGAGATTTTGTGAACCCTAATTAAGAAGAGCAAACTAATTTTATTTTTAATACAAAATCTGAGTTAAAGGTAAAAATTGAACATAATTTGTACTTTATACCAAAAAAATTATTTTAAAAATTAACATCGAGTTTTTAAAACTTTTTATTGTGGTTTATAAAGTCAAGAAAACATGTTAGATCTTAAATTGAAAATATGCATTGTTTATTTTACAGTTTTTTTAAAAATTAAAAAAAACCTAGCATAACCACAAAAATACTAATAAAGTTTTTAAATTCATATAAATGTAAAAATAAACAAGAAAATTGTGCTTTTTTAGGTTTAAACTACACATAACTGCTTCTTTTCGCTATGCATTTCATTTTACAGACTGTAACTACCACACATTCTAAGACCAACGTCTTTATTAAAGTACATTCCCTAAACACTTTTTTAAATTATAGCATTTAGATAAAAAATCAAACTATTGCCCTATATTTGATGTATGACAAAAAATCATTAAAGAAAATTTTTATTTTTGCAAAACTTGTAATTATAAAAAAAAAGAGATTTTTTACTTTTGATCAATTACAGATTTATACCCGAACAACAAAAATTTACACTCTAATACAACTTTATGAGGCTGTTTTGATAATTATGTTGATGTTGGAACAATTAGCGTTTTTTGTGTTTTATATCGAGAAGAATTTTCGGCCCGTTTAACGAACAAAACGCTGTTTGTATACAACTTATCTTTTAAAGAATATATTATTGAAAAAAAAACTTTTAAATATTGTGGTTGTGCTTATAATACTTATGGGAAAAAATTAAAATAAAATAAGTTTTTTGAAGTCATTGGTTCCTAGTTGTACATTAATATTTGTTTTGTGTTACTTGCATGTTCGGTTTTGAAGTGTCATTACGAAGTTGAGGTCTGAAAATTTAAATTGGGAAAATGCAACGGAATTGATCAAAAAAGTTTATGAATTAAAACACAAACACTCCGTTAAAATTTATATATTACAAGATTTTAAGGTTTTGCAAAATGAAAAGTATTTTTTTACTAAAAAAATTCCAAAATACGAAGAGGTTTTTGCTATAAGCTCAAAAACTGTTGAACAACTTGAAAAAGTTATTAGATTATACGAGCGTATATTTTAGAATAGACTGCCCGGAATTTTTGAAAATCTGATATTAATAAAGGAAATGAAGCACAGTAAAAATATCAACCAAGGGGTATAAACCTGTCGATAGTGAAAAAAAACATCTCATTGTGTTGCAGATTTAGAAATGTAAATGCCTTCTTTTATAAATCTACAGGAGCCGGAATATTTTTAGAATCATTAGGAGACGAAAATTTTTATATTGATGTGATATTAAATAGATAATTGTACTAAAGTGTTTTTTTATAAAAGTTTATTATTGTAGCTGTTTTTATTTAAAAAAAAAATACAATCTTTAATTTTTGTAAAAAACTCTAATTATTATTAAAAAAATGCCGCATTTACATGGAATTATTTTTTCCTGCAGAATAACGCCAATATGCTTTAACTAAATGCTCTTGATAACCATTTCTATAAGCAAACTTTTTTATTTTATAATTTGTTTTTTTTATATAGTAACATTTTTACTCATACTATTGATTATATTTGGATTAGAACAAAAACAAATAAAAATCGCAAAAATCTATTTTTTAACTAAACTAAGTTTAAAGTTGTTTAATTTATAAGTTTAACAAAAATATACATTAATCAAATACTTAAAAAAACTCTTTTCAAATAAATGTTTAGTGCTTAAAATTTTAACTTCAATAATTTTTTTGTACAAATACAATGGATAAATTACTAGCAGAAATCATACCGTCGTAATACGCTTTAAATTTCTGGCAGTGCTCAAACACCTGAAACTGTGCTGTTTTTTATAAATTTTAATTAAAGAAGTTGAATTTAATGATTCCATTTATTTGTATTTTTTCTTATATTTATACTTTTAAAGGGGTAAGGATGTGTAATAAAAAATCATAACATTTAAATCCTAAATTTATTAATGTAATCTAAAACAGTTACATTTATAAAAACCAACAAATTTATTTGTATCTTCGTAATGATTAGTGTAACAAAGCAGGTTTTGATTTAATCAAAACTAAAAATATAAATAGCGCCACAAAAATACAAGAATGCAATCAATAAACAGGTTAAATAAAAATGTCTTTAAATTTGGTAGTTTAATTGAATACTACTTAAAGAACAACAATTTGCCACCTATTTCTGACAAGATGAAACTCCCTTTTAAATCTTAGGAAGACTATTGATTTCGTAATAATTCATTTGTCAGAATGACTATAAAGAATTTTGATTACTTGTTATGTGAAAGTACAATACAGACAGAAACAGTAGTCATGTCATTATTTTTTAAAAAGTTGTTCTTTGATACAAATTTGTTTATAATTATAATTTAACATGTATTTTTGCTTTAAAATTCCTTAAATAGTTTTTTATGAAACCCCTATAAATTCTCTGTTCCTATTGGTTATTAAATAAAACACTTAATTGCATGTACTAACAAACATAAAAGTGAGAATAACTCATTTATGTATTTTTACATAACAATTACATTAATTGTTTAAGTTTTTATATAAATTTCGCTTTATGTGTATATATCTGTTCTTTTTAAACTTTAAACTGTTATTCTAATA